TGTTAGTAGACATGCTGTGGTGGTTTAGGCCCTGCCGGGATCTGAGACCATGCTGCCATTGTCCCTCCCCCACCCTCGGACTGGCTGGGGCAGGGATTAAAATATAAACCCCAGGGTTGAAGTAAGGAAAAATTTCATACAACAGTGTAACAAATAATAAACTGAACAACAACAGTAATAACAATGAACAGAAGAGAGATACCGCACAGAGCACAGCAAGTGAGGGTACCGACCATGAACACATCATGTCCCCCAGCTCTTCCTGCACTTGGCGCACAAATCTGACGTCAGTATGGTATTGAATAACCCGGCTAGAGCTTGCTCCTCACATTCTGTGGAAACTCAACCCTATCCTAGCTGAACCAGGACACATGCATTTTATTCTCACTGAGGATAAAAATCATTGCTACCTACTAAGGTTTTGTTCAGCCTTGCCAAAATTGTCAGATGAAAAATTAATTACTAAATATGAATTCTGAGATGATGCTGGTAGACATGAAAATGAGGTATCAATAGTATATCACAGTATGAATACTACTGTTTCAAAAATAGGTGTGTTATGTATTTAATAGATTGTGAAATGCGTCAAAAGTATTTGTGGGAAGTTTTTGATACTTTATATAAAATGTGTAGGTTTTTTCCTTAAAAGTTTTGTTTTGCAGGCCCTTCAGTCACAATACTGAGGAGGAAAATGTTCAGCACCCAGTTTCTTTAGGTGGTAGGGTGAAGGATAAACCAGCTGTAGCTCTATCAGCAGACATGGTACGTTAATACAGCGTTTCCTTACATTCTCACTCATTGTTTTTGTATATGCATAGTTAGTACTGCACTACTTAGAACACAAAAACCCTTCAGCCTTAATAGTTATGTGCTATTACTCCATCTAAACATAGAACCAATGCTCAGCTACAGAGTTAATGAAATAACCTGACAAAATGAATGCAGCTCAGACCCCACCAGATCATGGCTGAGGTGTGCTAATGTATTCAGCTGGCTGTGAAACTATGTATTTTGAATTTAGCTTTTCTTAAGACACCTGAGGCTTTGCAGTATTTGGGTTTGGGGCCTTTTTATTTCTTTTTAAATTCCAGACAGCTGAACGCTTGTGCAACACATCCTTAAAGTGGTCATTCAGGGCAACAAGGTTGTTGGACAAATGGATGTCTCTTGAAAATATTCTATCAAGTTTCCTTATCTTTCTGCATGAGGTTCATGAAGTTTTAGGCCCAGTGAATTAATCTCATGTATATTGTAAAATGACAGAATAAACCAGAAATGAGTGGTGCATTTTGTGCCAGTCATGTTTTCTATGGAGATTGTCCTGTACACTTATCTTGAAAGAATTGTAACTTGCAAATATCTGTCTTGGCTTCTTAGGTGGTTTTGTTACAGTGCCCATTAAAGTTTGAAAATTATTTTCTTTTCTGAACAGTTTTTTTAAAAGTGTTTGAAGTAATGCTGTATCATGTTATCTTAAATATATTACTGTTGACAGAGTATTAAAGGAAATACCCTGAAGTTATCTTTGAAGTATCTTGATTTTGAGGCTGTAAGTAATATTTTGATGGTAGTCACCTCTTGACGGAATATTTTCTTTTTTGGAGAAAGTTGTTGACAATGACCTCATGTGAAAACCCACTTGTTGAGATTGTAGTCTAATTGCTACTCGTTTCATAATTTTTTTCAGATTCCTTTTATTTTGTGATTAGTAATTACCAGATCTTTGGCAGTAGCATTTCTTACATCACTGAATGACCCTAGCCTTGTCTCTTGAGTTTTGGAAGGATTATTATTCCTGCATCATTGATCATAATAAGAACCACAAAGTAGAGAGGGAGCAATGTAATTCCATGTCATTTTAACCTGTTCTGTCTCCTTGCATCAGCTCAAAACAGAGTGGCAATAGTTGTCATAGGAAGTATTACAAATACATTAACATCCAAGTCTTATTAGGAGGAGGGGTTTCTTCCCTTTTTCTGCTCCTTGGAAGGAGACATAATTGATCTGAGATGTTCATATGCATTATTTGGAAAGTTGGTCTGGAGGTGAAGATGATGACAAACATCTTTAATGAATTCCACAATGTGTGTGCCTAGCAGGTGTCTCGCAGATTGTGGGCAGCACTTCCTTTCACTTATACCAGTGTCTGGTCAGAGGCAGAACTGTTTCAGGTTTTTGAACTATTAAGCTTTAATTTCTTTCTTTTCCTTCACATACTGTCTTTTCGTTTGTTTTTGGTGTGTATGTGTGTGTGCAAATAAATTGCATGTATTTAATAAACTTAGAATACATGTTTTCAAAATTTTACAATGTAAGTGTTCTCAGTATAATTCAGGTGAGCTGAGTATTTTGGGTCTCTTTGCAGCTCTAGAGCTGCTCAGAGCCTTACACAGATCATCAGTCACCAACATCAAGTGCCTCCTTGTCAAAATGGCAAATGAGTATAGCCCATCTTGCCTTTCAGTCATACAAGCAACTTTATATTCATTGACAAATCTTCCCCCAGGACAGCAAAACTATGGAAGATATTGATACAGCTTTGTACACAGCTGTGTGTAATCTCAGCCACTTATATGAAGCAGATGAGGTGGGTGAAAATAAGTTAATCATAAAATACTAAATGCTGTCCTTGACTGAAGCTTTTTTGTTAGGAGTAGTCATGCATTAACATGCTATTAAACATGGTTTTACTGCATTTGTTTTAACATCTTTTGTCCTTCAGTTGTTTATGATATTTCTATGAATATACAGCTTTATAGACTCCAGGCTGTAGTCTGGAGTTTACAGACTACAGTAGTCTGTAAAATTAATCATTCCTGATGTAAACACTTAGATTTAAAACATACTGTTGGTATTCTCTTGGTTTCACAGCTCATCTGAAAGAATTGTTAGTACCTAGCCTGAAGAATTGCCTTAAATAAAAAGGACAGTTCAGTTGGCTCTGATCTAAAAATCTGTGTGTATATATATATATATAGGAATGGCCCTGGCAGGGATTCTTCTGGTACATCCCTACTACTACAGTAGTTTGTAAAGGAGTACATTAGCCTATGAATAATTTAATAGGTCAATCCATATATTTAGCAGAACTATATATAAGCCAGTCTAAGTACTAAGTTTCCTTGGAACAGGGTCAAGCTCAGCATTTGTTTTTTCTCTAGTAACTATGCCAACTTTTTAGTTTTCACATGCCTCTTTCTGGTTTAAAGGTGAAAAAGAAATTATATAGGCAGCAGAAGTAATAATTTTTAGCAGACACAATATGTAAAACATGTAAATCAAATAATGCATTTTTATGCACAATATAAAATACTGCACAATACAAAAAAATCAAGGTCTAGACTAGATACTAGGAAGCATTTCCTTCCAGAAGAGGTTGTTAGGCATTGGAATGGGCTGCCCAGGGAGGTGGCATCCCCATCCCTGGAGATGGTTTGTCGGGTTGACATAGCGCTGAGGGATCTGGTGTAGTTGGGAACTGTCAGTGTTAGGTTAATGGTTGGACTGGGTGGTCTTCAAGGTCTTTTCCAACCTAGACAGTTCTGTGTTTCTGTGAAATACAGAAGAAATCCTAAAACACTGGCTAATACTGTTTATAGGTTTTGCTGAGTAACTTACGAACTTCTTCAGTGTAACTATTTTATTTAAACTTCTCCACAGCAATTTTAATGAGTTAAAGCTTGCTGTTCTGTCTTTGCCATTTATTTAGATTTTACGTGTATTCTAAGATACCCAGGCATAGAAGTTCTAATAATCCAAAAGCTTAAAACAAATTCATTGTAGTAAGTGTGGCATGAAGTGTCCTTAAAACCCGTTTTCCGTTTCTTTTCTAACTTGTTTTGTTTCAGTGGCCAATCTGTCAGTTAAGCAAAGTTACATTAAATAACTAATACATATACTAATAGCAACTTGTTAAAACCTACCATTTCAGCAGCTCTAATGTAACCGTGGTCTTCCAATAGCATTTCAGCAAAGACCAAGAATCACAAAAGCCATGTTGTATTACTGAGACTTTTTTTCCCATAGTCTCTTCACGAAGTTTAACTGTAGCAACAAAACTGATGCTTAGCCAGAGGAAGAATCTTTAGTTGTTTTCTTTTATGCTCAGAATAAGTTCAAAAAACCCAGTAGAAATCTTAACGTGCTAGTTGTGTATGGTGCTACATTCAAATGTCAAGTAAGGAAAGTGAGGCAGTGGGGCCCAAGGTCTGTAACTTTCTTGCCTCATAGACCTCAGTTGACCTGAGGATCCATACTGCGAACTGACTAGAAGTTAGGGAAAACAAAGAGATTAATAAGATGTAATTGGTTTAAGTGTCACTTTCTGCTGTAGTATTGATCGCTGTCTAACTGTTTATTGCTTCTGTTCTGAATTTTTAAAAAAGTACTGTGAGAATAATCTTGTTTATTCAATACTGAACAAAACAGATGCTGAAATACTTGGAATTGAAAATGAAGCAGGAAGGAGACAAAGTTGTAGAAACTGCAGATAGAATATTTGATGAACTTACTACTCTCCTCTCAAGGTAGTAATCTGGTTTGTGGGATGGCAGGGATGAGTTATTTTTACCAAGAAGTTATTTCTAATTTGGATAAAAGAATTCTAAGTAGAACTTCAGTCTTCCTTGTAGTAGTATTTCATAATGCCTGTCTTTAATTTTTGCCCTTTCATAGTGATGTCTTGGAACTGGTTTGTATGGTTGGAAAGCACAAGCTTATGTAGCCTCTGTTCTTTAAAAAAAAAAAAAAGGAAAAAAACCTTACTGATGTTCATTTTCTGAAATACCTCAATTTGAGAGGTTTTTGATACTGCCATTAGTGGATGATCAGTTTAACAGCAATAATAACTTTTTTAAAAATTGACTTCAAGTTTTAAAGATGATACAAGCTCAAGGAGGCTTTATTTCTTTTTCAAAAATATTTATATCTTTAGATTTAAGGGAGCAAGGGGTGCAAAAGCTTAAGATTCCAGAAGAGCCTCAGAGGTGCATCTGATATCTTAATAGACTGATTTGTAAAATCCAACTGTTTAGTTTTCAGTTGGATGTGTATGGAAATATCAGGAAGCTTGAATGAGAGAGTGAGTGCTTTAAACATTCAGTTAAAAAATGTTTCTCCAAATGAAGTAGCTTTCCCAGTGAGAACTTTAACTTTTGTGGTTCCTCTGATTTAAGTGGGTTTTCCATGCTTTCCTCTTTTCATTGTTTGAGGAAAATTATATTTCTGAGATTTGTCTGTGTATTGCGGTGTAACTGGTAGTTGTGTGTTACAGTTGAATTTTGAATCTGCATGGCTGAGTGCTTATTAATTTCTGGAGTAATGTTTTTAATACAGCAAAAGGAAACTGTGTGCAGAATTAGTGAAGAGCATCAACAACTACAGTGCTGGTATTGCAAAAGCTAAGGAAATCATTGAAGAGAAGAAGAAGTGCTTGATTGGTGCCATTGGGATTGCAAATGAATTAATAATTACACCTTCTCTAAGAAACTGTTGTGATCTTGCTCAGGTAGTTACATTCTTGCACTGTGAAATAATTAATTGTTAATTAATGTAGTCAAATTTGGATTGAAAGTTTGATGCATCTTTCAGTTTGATTTTAATACTGAATTTTTTTTGCAATAATGTGTTCTTACCCCACCTCTACACACACACACACACACACACACACACAGTTTATATTTAGTTTTTGTCTCAAATTAGGGTCTGGTGACTGATGTGGAAAAAAAGAGGATGGTCCTTGCCTTGAAGAGCTTGCTATCTAAAATAGCAAATGGATGTGGAGGACAGAAAAACTGTGACACAGTACTGGCATGTTTTCAGCACTTTAGAAGTCTCAAGATTTTTCCATTCCAGGGCTCTCCAGCCTTTTCACTGTGAACTACTTCAGAATTAGTAGTCATGCCCTCCTGATCCTCCTGGTCCTAGGTCTTTATTTCCATTCTTCCTCCCCATCGTATCTGCTGTTCATAGAAACCCACACTACTAGCTGTGCTATATCAGACCAAAGGTCCATCCTGTGAAGTTTCCTGTCTGACAACAGAGAGGAAAAGATGCTTGGAGGAAGAATCTAAGAACCTGGGCATTTAGTGAGTACAGGAAGTGGAAGGTTAAGGATTTTATGATTGGTAGGGTACATCAAAGTCATCACACTGATAAACATTACCTCATTGTCTCATAAGCTTGTATTACACTTACTTGAATGTGTGTATGTGCATGTGTACGTTATGTATCCATATTCAGTGGCAGCGAGTTCCACATTTTAATATTTTAAATGAGGTGTATATAAAACAGCTCTCTGTTCTTTTTAAATGTGCTACCCAGTGACTTCACTTGGAGCCTTTGCAGTCCTTATTTTGAGGAAAAATAATGAATAGATTGTCTCGTCACTCTTAGAAGTAATGTGATTTTTAGACTGTTGTGTTGCCTTCACCAGTTGTCATTTTCCATATGAAGAAACTTAGTCTTTCTCATGTGACCCAGAAAAGAAGTGTAATCCCTCCTTTTTTCTATCATTTGCCTCCATCTTGCCCAGTGTGACTTTTGGGAGCTGGTACCCACCGCTGTCCTCCTATAGGCCTAACTTCTTATTTAGAAGTCACCTTGTCAGTAGCTATTCAAACAAAAGAAAGATGGGAATCCTACATCTGATTACATGCTAATATTACAATATCCCCAAACATTACATCTTAGCAGTGTAAGAAGACATCACTGAGAATTGGCTATTGGCTGATAATGAGTAAACTCTTGAGTTTTTTCTATAAAATTAATGTCATACTCTGGCTTTCTTATGTTGTAGGTGCCTGTATAATCTGCTTTTTGTATAACAGAAGCTAAGGCTGTACTTCTTGATTTCAGGTTATTTATAATTTAAAGTTGCCAGTTGAGGCTGAGCTCTCAAGAGTGAATAGTTTGATGGAAGAATTATCTTCAAGGTAAATGACTTGAGCGAGAGGTAGATGAATGCACCAGTTATCTTAATTACAAAAACTGTTCACATAGTAGTTAAACAGCAGAAATTGAGCTGCTTTGCTTGCATTTTACTGAAAAACTAGTTCAGATGTATATAAATTTATCACTAATGATGTGCAGTAGCCTTCATCTGAGGCATCAGGGAGAGTTTGCTGCTATATATATGCATGTAAATATATATGCATGTAAAAAATTCTGACGGACTTCTACCACTTACAAACTTCCTCTCCTTCCAAGTAGAAATAAATTGGGGAAATAATGGCTTAATTTAAAAAAAAAAGAAAAAAAAAAAAAAATCAGTTTTTCACTTTCAGGAAGGACATAAATGCTTTTTAGGGCACTGATGTCCAAGAAGAAATTTTACTGTGGAAGATCCCAGTTACCATGTTATCTTCATTGGAAGTGACATACCAGAAATGAGTAAGAAAATGTCATAGCTGTGGTACAGCTGACCTTATACAGCTTGGCCATAAGGCTGGTTAGAGTACTGTAATCCTACTGTAACTAATTCAGGAACAGTGAAGGAGGGACAGAAAAAGATGGTGTTAGACTGGAACATCTTCGGGATTTCATTCTATTTCAGTATATGGAACCAGTCTGGGGGATAGAGTGGCTGTGTGACATCAGATTCTGTCTGGCAGAGAGGAATGAAGCTCAGAGTTGGTTACTTGCAAGCAAAGTGTGAAAAAATGGCATAGAATCATAGAATCAGGTTAGAAAAGACCCAGTCCAACTCTTAACCTAACACTACCAAGTCCACCACTAAACCATGTCCCTAAGCTCCAAGTCTACATGTCTTTTAAATTGGAGTGGTTTGGGTTAGAAGGGACCTTTAAAGGTCGTCTAGTCCAACCCTCTGCAAGGAACAGGCATGTCTTCAAGTAGATCTGGTTGCTCAGAGCACTGTCCAACCTGACATTGACTACAGGGATGGGGCATCTACCACCTCTCTGGGCAACCTGTTCCAGTGTTTCACCACCCTCACTGTAAAAAAATTTCTTCCTTATCTAGTCTGAATCTACCCTCTTTTAGTTTAAACCATTACACCTTGTCCTGTCACTACAGGCTTTCCTAAAAAGTCTGTCCCAATCTTAGTATCCCCCTTTAAGTACTGAAAGACTGCAATAAGGTCTCCCTGGACCCTTCTTCAGCACTGCAAGTGCCTTCAGGGTTGGTGACTCAGCCACTTCCCTGGGCAGCCTGCTCCAGAGCTTGACAAAAATCATGACAATTCCTGTCATAATTTAGTTGAGTCATTAGAATATTGATAAAGGAGTCTTTAAAATCTGCTTTTAGTAAACTTAGGCCCTACCTAACAAGTCACTATTTTGAAGATGATGTTAGTGGTGAATGAGAACTTCAGAGAAGCCTATTTAAAAGCACAATGGCAAACTATCCCAACCTAAAAGAAAGCTGAAACATAACCCAATCTGTTCACATTGGAGGACCTATTAAGAACTTGAACAAAAAGGGGAAAAAGATCTGTTGAAGGATGAGTATAAAGGCCTCATATGCTGGTACCACTGAAATAACATGAACAGTAAAAAAATCACAATGAGGAAGTGCATAGGAGTTGACACATTCTGTAAATATAAAATAACTAGAAAAAAAAGGTAAATGTTTTCCTGAAGGGATAAGGGGGAAGAAGATGGGCTGTTCAATTCTGCTTCCACTTCAGTTTTCACAGTATTCATTTAAATGAACAGCAGAGCTAAGGATTTGTTTGAATTAAGTTATGTTTACAGTTCTTTTAGCCTGACTGTAAAAGTACTTAAAATATTTGGTTGGCTTTCATCAGTAAAGGATACTGTTGTTCATTGGTGTAACAATAAACAGAACAAAACATACATTTTTAGTTATGGGCTTTGTTCTTCAGGACTGTTGGAGAATTCTTTTTCTTAGTGCAGAATTAATTTACTGAACTAAACTGGGTATAGGTGTGGAAACTTAGTGAATGTTGGAATAATCTGTCCATAACAGAAAGTGAAAGGCAAGGGAGTTTTTAAGTGTGAATGTGAAAATAAATCAGCAACCAAATCTGTTAATAGGAGTGGGAAAATGAAACTGGAGTAGGTGATTAATCTCCATTAATATTTTGCTGAAAAATAGTGTATCTCAAGCTGTCAGTGATTTAGGTATTCATGTCACCTGTAATGTTTCTCTCAATTCTTCCTAAACATTGATGATTTCTTTAAAGATTTGGGCAAGATTGAATGGGGAACAGGGCAGTTTGTTTAATAAAGAGGATAGGGACAGTAACTTACCTGTTCTTCTAATGGTTAAGTATTTATTGGAGATTAAATTTCAAAATAAAAATAGATCTGTATATGCTTATGGATTTCTAAGAGTATCACAGAACAGAACTTCAGATGCAGATACTTCAGTCAGCATTCCAGTTAATTGAGCTAGTATTTCAGTTCTGAGACTTGTTTTACTTGTTTCACCCAACTATTTTTCACTGTATCACTTATCAATATTTTTTTAATGCTGTGTACTTTTCTGCTTTTTCTGACATTTAATGATACAATCATAGAATCATTTAGGTTGGAAAAGACCCTTAAGGTCATCAAGTCCAAGTGTAAACATAGCACCACCAAGTCCACCACTAAACCATGTCCCTAAGCACCATGTCTACACATTCTTAGTACACATAGTAGAGATGTTTATAATTTCAGCATATGAAAATTACTTCAAAATTAAGTGTAAATAAATCTCTAAAATCAAGAACAAATACTGAAATTTAGATTTCCACTTCACATTCTTAAGTAGTGATTGTGTCAGATGCCACAATAAATTCCTTAAGATGAAGTTCAACAGAAAAAAACTTTATTTTTAAAATCACAGTTGCTTTTATTAGTCCACTTTGTTTTTCCCTGCAGTCTTTGACAAAAACTTGAGATAATTTAATGGAGTCGCTGGAAGGGCTGTTATAGTTAGCACTGGTTATGTTAAAAAAGGCTTATTGCATACTGTAATAACCCCTGATTACAGGGAAGAGTAACTGTTAGTACAAAAGCATCTGACGTGCTTTTTGTTTTTAATATGAACTATCTATCACATTATTAACTTTTTTTTCAAATAGTTTGTACCTGTGGTCTCTGATCATTTAAGTGGGGATAGCTCTTGTACTGAGTTGTGCCCAAGACCCCAGAATATGTCCCATTTCTGTGCCAGTCCTTTTTAGGTTTCAGAAATCATGTTACTGTTTCTGTTGTCGTGGGCATTCAACTAGCTCGTATGAGGTGTTTTCTTAATATAGCGATATGTTCTTAATAAAACCTCTGCTTTGACTTGTGCCTTTTTGAAAACAGACTGAATTATATTTGTCTCCAAATAGATGTTTTCCCAAATGCAATGAAGATAATGGACAACACGCTCTTACCCTTGATGACAAAGAAGAAATGCCGGGCTGCAGTACTCAATCATCTGTGGTGAATATGTTTCCAGCACTTAGCAGAGAGAGTAAAGTAAAGGCTCTTGCAAATAAACTCTGTGTTCACGAAGAAGTGAAAAACGCTCAAGTACATGAAACATTTCCTATGATACATACCCAGAGTATTCCTGCTCTACCCAAGTCTACATCCAGCCCTGATGTCATAATAGAAGAAATATTTGAAGATGACCTGAAAAGTAAGTTTCATAATAGCTGATGCTTTCAAATTTCCATTGTCAAGCATGGTGTTATATATGTGGTTTATATTATTTTGTGTGTTTGTAGTTACACTCGGCTCATATGAGTTCTTTAATGATGTCTGTATTTCATTTTATCTTGCTATCATTTCTTTTTTGTTCTTTAGCTTAGCTTAGTGAAAACTTTCTCACCAGTTCTCTCAAAGAGGGGTCATAAGTTCCTGTGTCTTCCTGGATGATTCTCTTTGTGTCTTAGTTATTACAGTCCTCCTCAGAGTTTCTGACATTGGCTCCTAGAGAATGCTTTTCTGGCAGTTCCCTAGGCTTCCTGAATCTTCTCCCAGGGCATTGTCCTACATTAACTGGCAATAGCAATTAGGTTCCTTGGCTTGTCATATTTTTCCTGGACTGTATGAGTGTAGCTAACAGGTCCAGAAAGTGAGCTGTTGGGCTCTTGTTAGACTGAATCTGGAGCACTGTGTCCAGTTTTGGACCCAGCAGTACTGAAAGTCATACTGGAACAAGTCCAGCAGAGCTTACCACCATGGTGTCCAGGAGGTGCTCAGGGATAGGGCTGAAGGCATTAGGAACAACTTGGAACACAAAAGTTCCGGTTAGATAATAAGAGTAGAATAGATAGATGCGTCCCACAGCATAATTAAGATGCTTAATGTCAGAGTGTTCTGTGTCCATGACGTACCTACAAAATCCCTGTGATTAGCAATGCTTGGGGGGAGAGAGGAAGAGCGGAGGGGTAGTATGTGAGAGGAACTGCGGTAGCATATATCAGTGATCAAAGTGAAGTAAATTTCAGAGCTTGGGCATGACTGTCCATAACATATTCCAGAATCCTGGTGGACTTTACAAACCAGTTGTCAGAACAAAATTCCTTCGAACTGCAGTGTTATATATATTTTGTATGTCTTGAATCTAAGAATTTTAATGGTAGTTTTGTAATCTTGGAATTAGCATGTGAGCTAGCCATGTACACATAGTCACTGTCTGTGTATCTGTTTGTCACATCAGATGTGAGAATTTTTGCCTTTGCGGTATCCTTAAAACACATGTAATTTCTCTTTACTGTGTTTGTTGTTATACTACATATGTATAAATACTTAACTAACCTAATTCATTGACCTTTCTCCTAAAACAATAAACAGAGTTTCCCACAGAATATCATGCTCAACAGAGGAGGAAGCTGTTCAAAAAGGAAGCACCTTTTCAATGTAAAGCTGGTTAGTAGTTTTTCCTATCTGGTAAATGGTTTAGTTTATTAGAAGGGACTACACTTTAAGCAGTGAGAGCAGACACTAGAATTTGTTGGAGAGTTGGACACATACATTAACATTCCAGTTGGGTTTCGGGAGTGTTCTAGGAAGCAAATCTCCTGACTCTTGCCTAGTTAGCATGTATTAGCTCACATGTAAGAGCAGACTTGGGACACACGAATTGATTTCCTTCCAGTTAAAACTAGTCTGGGAGGTGCTTATGAGTGCAGATGTCATTCTTAGCACCAGGAGTTCTGCTCTGCAAAAAACCTCCCTGGTCTGCTTTCCTTGCTAGTGTAAAGACTATACCATCTTTCAAGATTTCCAATAAATGTGCTTAGTTCGAAGATGCAATACAGGAAATCCCAAGAAACTTTCAGCAGCTCATCATTGGCAATGTTTCTCAACGCCTGGCAGGTACTTGACATAATGATAGCAGTGCTTGCTGTGAACAGTGGGACCTATTTCTTAGATCAGTAGTCTATATACTGAATTTTGAACTGTTGCCTTGTTCTTCCTCCATCTGTGGTTTTCTGAATTATGAGGGAACAGATAAATGTACAAAACAAAGTCATTTGAGGAAACAAGTTACTTTGTTTAAAAATTATGTAGTCATAGTTCGTACAGTGCTTTGAGCTTTATTCATTGTTGACTGTAAATGATAATAAAAGTTTTGAGTAGAGATTGAAGTATTGGGAAAGAGAGAAACTGGCCTAAGAAGTTGACAAGAGGAAGAAGCACTGCTGAAAAAAGATGTGCCCAAAATAATACCAGCGAAGAAAAAGATTGAGGAAACTGCATTGTTTCATTTGATTTGGGGGTTTTGTTTGGGGTTTTTCCTTTGTTTTTTTAATACTTTTTTTTAAACTGTGTGTCATATAAATGCACTTCCCCTGACAGTTTCCTGTCCATTAACTTGTGAATTCACTGGCTGCTCTTAGTGAGACTTGGCAGAATGTTAGAGAATTTGAGCAGTTTAAATCCATAACAAATTCTGTGGAAATAAGTAGTTAGCAGAGGAATTCTCCTATGCCCATAGTGAAGTTAGTGTAGTATGTGCTCACCTTTATTAGATATCAAAGAATTCACATGGAGAGAAAAACACCACTATCACAGTTGTGTGATGTTTGAGTCTTAGCAAGACACTTGAGCATCTCTCACATATACATGAGAAGAACAAGATCTTGAGAGATAAAATGATCACAGAGTTACCTGGTGTGATGGTTTTTATCAGTAATATGCTAAAATACTTATTTTGTACAGTATTGGATCTTTTTGGATTGAGAAGCATAATTTGAAGTTGGATATAAAGAGTTTTTCATTTTTTTTCTGCTGATAGGCTTAGTTATCAAATAATATTTGATAATTTTTTCAAATCCCTTTCAGGCAGCTGTGGTTTGGGATTTTTTTTTTTTTGCATTTAGTTTAAGGAACATAATCAAACAGCTTAATGACATCTCTTCTGGATCCATCTGGCTCTAGTGATCCGGAACTGGCACAGCTCTTGTTACTTTTTTGGCTGGAGGTATCAGCCTCTGCTGATCTAGTGAAGTGACTGTTAATACATGCTTTTCTTGGTCTACTTAAGACAAGCTAGCTGACTGATCCCATCACTGGAGATGGTGACCAGGGATGATCCAGAAGAGTTAGTGTACCTATAGATGAAATCTTTTCAAGTCATTCAGACTTTTTACTCAGATGCCATCTCTTTCACTGGAAATGCCGAAGAGTAATCTTGCATCTGTTCCGGACACTGCGTTTCATAAACTTCCAAGCAGAGTCCTGCATACGTGCTCAGAATGTTTCAAATGCCAGATTCTTTTTACCATCAGTGTCCTGGTTCAGCTAGGATAAGGTTAAGTTTTTCCCAAGCAGGGGGAAGGGATCCCCATCCGGGTTATTCATACCATGCTGATGTCGGGTCCAGCGTGGGAAGCTTTCCTTTGTGGCTTTGGTCGCGGGAAGAACGCACGGCAGGCTGGCTGTGTTCACTGTGGTATTTCTCTGTATATCTTTTGTTTACTATTATTTCCTATCTGGTAAATGGTTTAGTTTATTATTGTTAGTATTGTTGTTGTTCAGATTATTACACTGTTGTATTAAATTTCTTCTTGTTTCAACCCTGGGGTTTGTGCCCTACTCAGCCCAAGGGTGGGGGAGGGACAACGGCAACATGGTCTCTGGTCCCGGCAGGGCCTAAAACAGCACACATCAGTGAGTTCTAGTTCAGAGGTGGGCACAGTTGGCAGTGTTCTAGGATGCTGCAGATCTGTCTGCTGTGGCCTGATCAATCATGCAGATGTCACTGGATCTAGGTGGTGCTATCCACTCTTTGCAGGGAGTTTTAAGGTTTAAAATACTCCTCTAAGAATTGAGTTGCTGGCCTTCTAAAATCTTCTGACCCATTCACCACCTTTGCGTAGCTTCAGAAAGAGAAACCTGCAGTTTGGATCCCAAATCAAGGGAGACACCTGCAGTGTAAAGGATTTGGATGCTTAGTCAGAAGTACTGCCTTATATAGGTTCATCTTTTGGCTAGATTTAGGCCATTCTTTGATCTTCATGCATTATCTCTGAATAGATAAACGGAAGTGCTTAGCATAAATGTCGGAGTTTTAAATCTGCTTTTTAGAAGCTTCCTATTTCTCTGTTAAATAGGGAATACAAACTCTGAATTGCATACTTAAATTCAGGTTATCCTTTTGTAAGCAGTGAGACTGCGTTTTGTTTTGAAGGGAATCATAAGGGAGGTAGTTCAAAAGAGCAGATTTAATCAGAAAGCAAACATGGTAACTACTTTGAAACAAGTGTGAGCAGACTTACTAGGTTAAAAGCTATTTGAGGCAATGTTATCATGATTAGTGCAACTTAATCACATGTCTAGTAATACCTGTTGGAGCAAAGAGTGTTTGATAATGTTTTGTGTCTTGCTCAGGTTTGCCAGAACTAGTGTTTGTAAGCCATGTTATAGATCCATGCCACTTCTATATTCGGAGACACTCACAGAAGAAAGCAGCAGGGGTTTTGGAGGAGAAATTGACAAACTTCTGTTGTAATAAGAGTTCATATCTCTTGCCTTCAGATGTTTTGGAACTAGGTAAACTATTAATTTCTGAATATTTACATTAGTTTAAAATACTATCTTGCAGTATGTCTTCCTTAGTATAATCTTTTTTTTTCCTCCTTTCCCCTGCCACCTTTACAGTAAAGCACTCCTTATGTGTTCTGGAATCTATAATTAATGCTTTTGGGGAAACATTGTACACATTGTTCAGTAAAGTAGACTTTTATTAAATCATGTAAACAAAAATTATAGAAGTAAATAAGGCTGCAGTTCTTAACCTCAAGAAATCGAGTGCTTAGAGAAACCAGCAGTTGAAATGACCTGACTACAAACTTTTCAGCATTAGGTGAGAATTGTTAAATGGTAGTTTTTTCAGTGTAGTGATTTTAATGACTAGCCTAATTCTTTCATTACTTCAGTAAATCAGCTTTCTCTCATGCAGGTAAATTCCCTTCGAGTGGATAGATGATTTTTTTTTTTAAGTTCATTAACTGGATAGAAACCATTCTAGAAGTGAAAATGAAAGACAATAATACATTGCTAAATCATGAAAAATATTTTCTAGCCCACATGTTGGCAATGTTACTTCTAGAAGGTGTTTAGAAAACTGATGAAAAGTATGTAATAACCCTCAACTTCATTGTTTTTTTGCCACTTTACTAAGAGGTACATAAAGTTTTGACAGAAAATTACTTCTTAATACAAGCCAAACACCTCCTAGCCTTACAGACACTGTGTAAATGAATGTGGGAAGAAAACACCTGGTGGCTATTGAGACATGGGTTTTAATGTCTTCATGTCTATTTTAGCAGTAGCACTTTTACTGCCTTTGTGGAGGATAGGCCACAATGGAACATTATGCAGAACTGTAATGATACTTCCAGTGTGAAATATCTACAGATACTCAGTCTTTTTTTATTTCCTTCCATATAGGTGCTAGAATTTTTATTAAGAGGGAGGAAAATGGAATGTGGTGCCGTGGAACTATCACTGAACTAATTCCCCTAAAAAGTAAAAATGAGAGGAAACCTTGTGGTCCGATAAGATACAGAGTTTGTGATACTGCACTGCTAGAAGTATTCCTGATTGATTTTGGGAGCTCTGTAGTTATAATTTTCTCAGGGTATGTTTACAGAGAGAAGTTTCTGTCTGCAATTATTGTCCTTGTTACTCAAGAGATCTCTGCTAAGAAACAAGTCCTCCATCAGCTTCACTCAAGCAGATTAACCAGATATCCAAATGACAGTAATAGTCTGTATGTGCCTATTTCCCACAGGAAAAGTGGCAGTGTATGTAAGTTAACAAGTGTACAAGTCTTCACACGTTAAAATGTTTAACTTTGACTTGCATTGAAAAAGAGAATACATGAGTCCTCAATGTTTAAAAAAGCAATACATTTCATTGACACTTTCTGGTTTTGTTTCAGTGACATGACATAATGCCAATTATTGCATTGATGATCTTTATTTTAAGTCTGGAATTTTTTGGTGTTGGGTGGGTTTTTTTGCTTTTCTTTTAAGCTAGTACTGCTTTTATTCCCATTCACAATAGGTATGTTCTTGCTGAAAGGCCTGAACCTTCTGCTCTGCAGACTGTTGAAACAGATGACATTTCTTTGTTTGTAAGGAAGCCTGATCAGCATATTGAGGCAGAACTTGCAGCTGTTCCTCCTTTAGCAGTACGGTGTTCATTGAAGGATATTGTTCCCAAAAATGCAGTAAGTAAAAGCTCTTTGTACTATTTCAGGAGATTTTTTTTCTTCCTAAGATTTATATTATGGAACTTAAATACATAATTTACAATTATCTTATTCCAATCTAAACACAGGGAAACTTGAGAGGAATACAAGGTCTATTTTATTTTTTAAAAAAGGTTAAATCATCTCTTGTGAAAAGATGGGTTGCATTGCTTTCATTGGAAAGGAAATGAGCTTATAGCAGTCTGTCTTTAAGAAGCCTCTCGGTTTACAAATACATATTTCAGGTTTAAGTCTCGCTACTCTTACCTAAGACGTGTTCTTTGTCAAATTTTAAAACAGATTACAGAACTGATACTCTTACGGCTGTCTGTTAACTTTATGCAAGTAGTAACTTTGAAAAATAATATAAACATAGAAGAAATGCCTTCAGTATTTTTAAGATCATCTTTTCAGGGATTGCCCTTTGTTACTTAAAATTTTTGCCACACACTGAAGAGAGTTATTTGTTCTCTTACAGTATAACAACAAATAAAGTAGTCAACCTTTATTGCCTTAGAAAAATGACATATATTGCAGCATTATTTTCTTCAGTATTCATTTATTTATTAGACTTTATTTTTGCCATGTTCACGTGGAGATGAACTATGTCCAAGTGCAGCTGTGCATTTCTGACAGTATAACTGCTGGTTGGTTTTGGGTTTTCTTATCAGTCTGATGTTGTCTGAAATAACTTTAAATAGGAAAGATCTGGAACAGTTTTCACAGGTGGGGGTAAAATGCCTTCCTTTTATACACTTTCATTTTTTTTCACACCTAAAAAAGCACAATTTGCAGTATCAGAAGAGAAATGCGTTAGCTTGATCCAAGATAAATAAATTCAGACAGGCCTTTTCAAGGTAGATAAAACTTTAGGAGGGATGTTGTGGAGAGGAGGAATGTGTAAATTGACCATACTATGTTGTACATTTGTATGCAGACAGAAAAAGATAAGAACAAACTTTTGAACAAATTGGGAGAGGAGAAGTGCAAGTCATGGGATGAAGCAACATATGACAATTCTTACTTATCAGAACAATCAGAGAGGTGAAATCTTCCATCTTTAAAGGAAATGTGGTGGAAACTGCAGTCCTTTTGGTCTCAGTTTTATACAGTTAGTCTTCTAGGATGGATTTAAGAAGTTTAATGTTTAGTTCTGGCCTGGCTATGGACTAGACAGTCTTAGCAATTTGTTCAGTATTTCATCTCTTCAGACACATCTGCTCCCTTTTTTGCTTTTATTTTTTTTAATTACTATTTCTATTTTTGTTTTAATATTGACATCTTCAGTAACTTTCTTTCTTCCTAAAACAGAGTGAAGGTTGGGGAGAGGAAGCAAAGACAACATTTTTACAAATGGTAAATAATAAAGTTGTTTCAATGGCCATATTTAGAGAAGAGAATGGTGTTCTGATTGTGGATTTGAAGAAACCTCCATTTAATAAAGCAAATGATAACATGCCAGTGTCTGTCAAGGATGCATTAGTTTATTTAGACTTGGCAAGGTATGTGTTTTCCTTTAGTTTATGCTCTTATGCCATAAATGATAACATCATAATTATAAAGTGAAGTTTATCAAGCAAATTGTTTTTGCAATGTTTGATATTTTAATGTGTGATGCATTAATCTTAATCAATGTCTGTTGATTTACTTTTTTGAACATCATTAATAAGCATAGTAGAATATTCATTTGCACTACTCAGGGCTTTATTTCAATAATGAACTTTATTTTAGGAAATGACAAAATGTAAATTTCTGTATAAGTTTTAATAACAGGGCAGTGGAGATGCCCCTAGTGTCTACCCCAGAGAGAACAACATAGAGAAGTCAGCCTTGTACGTGTTTGATTTTGTTGGTAGGCAGTTATAGACTAGTCAGCACATCTGAACCAGCCACATGATGTGATGTATATAGCACAACGAACAGGAGAAACAATCATGGGGCATAAGCAGGAGCGTGATGTTAGCATGAGGACAGAGGAGAGCTGCTTTGGAGGGGGACCAGTGGAAGAGGCAGAAGAAAGAGAAGAACATGAGCATTTTGGTGTTTGGGTACAGCGGTATAACATGCAAATCTGTGGGAAATTACAGTTCATTTTGCTGCACTCAGAGAAAGGTCTTTGTTTATATTTGAGAATAACTGTGGTAAGAACAGTGGGATATGATATTTTACTTCATCTGTATTTATCAGGTAATTGATTTTTCTCATAAGTGAGGAAAAGGAAATCTGAGATAATGGTTTTGTCAGCATAGTGGATTCTAGGCTTTAACTTTATAAGACAATTTTGTGGTTTTTATCAAAAGACTGACATTTGAATATAAAAGGCTCCCTGTCAGTTTTGACTGAATTTATACAAAATTTCATTATGTTTACCTTAGGTTTAGATTGCAGCTTCCCAATCAGCTAGAAAATAATACCATCTTGCGGTATAGTCCACCTAAGATTCCACAAGAAAGAGAAGAAGTCTCTGTCACAATTTGTCACATTAATAGTCCAAGTGATTTCTATCTGCAGTTGGTAAGTTTAGAAATAAGGTCTATTTAAATGAAACTCTGAACAAACATTTTAATGTAAATAAGGTACAATTTTGACTAACTTCTATTACTACTTACCAGTTTTAGGGTTCCTAGAATTAATAGATGAGGAATTCCTACAATTCTAGATTAAATCAGGAATTTTAGATTCTAGATTAATTGTAGAAATTCTTAGAATTCCAGAAAGCTAACATTTTTTTTGTCAGTTCTGTTACATGGTTGATTCCTATGTGGGTATATAGTATTTTACTGTTTAGAGTGGTGATTGAACAGTGCAATATTCAACAATTGCTAGGTTCTTTAATTCATACTCACTGTTTAATTTGGAGGTGGAAGACTGGGAAACTTTACTAGAAAAAAATGTCCCTTAAAAGAGCAAAAATACTGGGTGTTTTGGGGCTTTGGTTTTTTTTTTTTAATCTAGTGTATATGTATGTTTTGGTTTTCTTATTTTAGAGAGATAGCCTGGATTTTTCAGCTCTTGCAAAGAAAATTCAGGAGGTATATCAACATGAGTATGGGAAAAACTTGGAAGTTGTCTGCCCAGTTGAAGGTCAAGCCTGTATTGCAAAACAGAAAGATGGGAATTGGTACAGAGCACAGATTATAGGTGAAGTATTGAATCTTTCCCTCTAATGCCAGGCTGCAAAATCAGATGTGGTATAAGATCAGTTACACACTGGATATGAATAGTAACTAACAACCATTATTTTTACTAGGCATTCTTACACTAACAAGTAGGTTCATCAAGTCAGTAGTACTAATTCATGTTATGTTATTTTGCTATTAATGAAGTGGTTTATACATCTGTTTTTTAAAAACCCAGTCAATTTCATTTTCTATATATAACTGAAATTCTATTATACATAATGTTTCATTTACTATTACAGTCTGAACTACACATTTGTCTAATATAGCTGACCTCTTGAGTGTAACTAGTATGGGTAAATAATTCTCCATAGTAATTCCAAAGTGGATGGGGGGGTGTACTTGTGCTGATGTGTATGTTGCCTGTGTGGGCAGTGTAGCATGCCTGTATGCTTACATGTCTGCTTGCCATGTAGTTAATGTGCCAGTGTCTCATAAAGTACTTAGATGGAAAGGGACCAAAATGCTAACACTATCATTTCAGGAACCCAAAAGAGCTGGTTCTTAAAGAACACAGGTTTTGAGTCAGGTTATAGAACATTTGAAAATGTGGTATTGTGTGATTATGTCATGTAAGTGTGGATTTTGCTCTGACATTCTAGTGCTTTAACCTGTATCAGATACACATTTTTTGTTTTAATAACTTGGGTTGGTTTTTTTTGAAGGGCTGCCAAGTTGTCAAGAAGTTACGGTAAAATATGTTGACTTTGGCAACATTGCTAACTTAACTCTTAAAGACATATGCAAAGTAGAAAAGGAGTTTTTGAGCTCTCCAGAAAAGGTAAATTAGTACTTGGATGGATTAAACAGTCAAAATTAATAGAATCTCAATGTATGGAAAGGGAAAGAGAGAGTTGTTAACATTCTGAAGTAAATAAAATGTTAAGCAAGTTCCTTTTCTCATGGGTTTATGATGTGACTTATTTAATGTTTTGGATGCACATTAAAAACTTAATTTTTTGTAATATCATTCAGTTTTAAAGTAAATCTAATAATACCTTTCAGTGAGGAGGTATATAGACATTGTGTATGTGTGTTTAATTTGAATACCTTCTTTTATTCCATAGTAAACTGAATTAATTTTTACATTCTTTCATTTTCAAATGATAATCTAATAATGGTCTTTTTTTAAAAGTTACGTTTTTGTTTGGATTATACATTTAAAGTTTGGTGATTTCTAACTTTAGGTATTGTAGGAATTTCCCTCTCTTGATAAAGAGGAAAAGCTGAGTGGGAAAGGAAATCGCAAAGTATTTCTGTCAAAAAATGAACATAAGAAGAAAATAATTATTTTCTTCAGCTCTTCATTTGATAGTTCTGGTTACCAACCATAATTATGCTAAACTTTAAAACTTCATATGTTGGTAGGGGGTTTTTAACCCAAATGTAGGCACCAGAAATAAAGATTGTTGTAACTAAGGTTGGCTAGCATCTTTTGCCAAAAATAGGATTTAATTTTTTATATTTTGGCCAGATGTTTCTGGGGAAAGTTTGAGCCAAAATGACTGAGCCTTTTTTGACAGCAGGGGAGAGGAAACATTCTGAAAATGGCAAAACATTCTTGCCATTGCAGTGTCTTAATGCTTCAGATCAGAGTGACTAATGAATAAGGATGTTGGGATTTTTAATATATGTTATCCCATTGTTCCAACTGATTGCTTGCTATTGACCAAATACAAATCTTCAGAAAGATCTGTTCAGAATTTATAAGCTCCTGAGCATGTACTGCTAGCCTCCTCACTTTGAACATAAAGGAGAAGGGGCTAAAGAGTTATGGATACAGATGGGTATATGACCACTAGGGAATTGTCTAAAAAAACTATAACCCATCAGTTACTCTCAAGTGTTGACATTCTTATGCCATATGTAGGTTTTGGTTAAACACTCTGGCAAGGTGTTAACACCTGAATTTTGCATAAGAAATAAGTTCCTGTTGCTGTTAGTTTTAATGCAAGTAATAGAAAGATGAGCAGACTTGAGTCTGTGTTGCTGTGGTTTCAAATCATTTCTACTTAAAGATTTAAAATTCTTTGAAACATGACTGAACACAAGATGGCAAAATCAAGCATTTAGAAAGAGTATCACAAGTGAGGTTGCTTATGCAGCTCTATCCTATTGCATGAAAGCACTGATAAGTCTTCACACATGATCACATATATTGCATTGCCTCAAATATAAGTACATTGTAAAAGATTTGAATCAGGCTGTTACAAGAGGAGTCGGACTTTTTTTACAGCCTGTTAATAGTCTGCAGGCATTTTAATGGACTTGGGTGGTGCAGAAATCTTGGCCAAGACTACAATGAGCGGTGCTTAATGTAGTATTGGGTTTTCTCAGCTACAGCCCTTTCTTTTAATGGTTATTTAACCTGTCCATCAGTTTTCTTTTCAAATTCCTGACTGCCTGTATCCTATGAATATCTGCACAAAACATTATTTCAATTGTCTTTATTTCCTTTCTTTCCTTTTTCCCTCACCTGTGTTACTCTTCTTTTTTTCGGTGCAATAAACAAGAATGAGGAGACAATAACATTCACAGTTAATTTAAAATTGAGCTATAGTGACCACCAAAGTTTGCAGTAAGGATGCTAAACACACATTCTTTTAATCAAAGTACTTCATCTCATCTAATTTCCTGTGTGTGTCTCTTTTCGACTCCTGGTTAATACCTTCCAAAACTCTGGCAGGAATTTTCTGACATAGGTCCTGTGGTGTGTCTCTGTTCAGTCCTTCAGACTTCTGCAGTGGTATAGTCATGTTAGTCTTAGATGCTTTCAATCTGGGTTATTACGTCATAAGCAAAACAGGATGAAGGCTTTTTTTTTATCACCTTTCTGCAGTAATCTTTCCTGATTTCAGCACCAGTTTATGCCTAACCATAAAGGGAGGCAAGGAGAATTAAGCCCACTCTATTTCAGCAAGAATGTATGTGAATTAGAGCTCAGCTGCTGGTGGGGGTGAGGTGGAAATAATTTTGAGTCAAATCAAATAATGGTAATGTGGACCCAGAAGCCATGCATGTCTTGCTGTCCTGCATGAGTACAAAGCAAAGGCTCTGATTTGGCTGTAATGAGATGGTCTTAATATGTGATGGTACATGCATAATTTGAGTTATTTTTTAGGCAATAAGGTGCAGGCTGGCTTACATTGAGCCTTATAAAGGGGCAAGTGAGTGGAACAGAGAAGCCAAGGAAAGATTTGAAGAAATGACTGAAGAAAAACTTATGTTCTGTTCAATTGTTGGTAAGTTGTCAAGAGTGTATTCATTTATATTTAAATATTATTAAATTGTCTTAAACATAGAAACACACAGTTTCATATTTTAAATAGTATTTATTTGAAATGCTTAGGTTCATACTTGCTGCAGGTAGCCTGGAGTGAGAATATCTTAAAATGTGAACTATTTGGAAGAGACATAACAGATGCAACTTTTGACAAAAGCTCCGTTTGTCTTCTCTTAGGGACCACACCAGCATTAAGTAATATAAGTATCCTGGCTTATTAAGATGGGCTTGTTTCCAAAAGTAGTAGCTATCCTGACTGTTCCTGACTCTATTAGTAGCTGAGAGTATGAGCACTGCTGCTCTAAAATGTCACCAAAAAAAAAAAAAAAAGAATTTGAGATAACACATATATGCCTTAGTAGGGTTTTTCTCAATACCATTTACTGTTAATATGCAGCTAGTTATTTTTCAACACCTGTAGAATGGTGGTTTGGAACCCATCTAATAAATGAAATCACATGTAACAGTTGGTGTCTTTGTACAAAAATATTTAGTAATTCTTTGTGTATTTTAAGTTAATTTTATAGATATGTGCAAAGCTAAGCCTTTACATATTGTTGATGTTCAGAATCAATTATTTTATAAATCAAATGTAATTTTACTAAATTCTGTCTTTTTATACCATTTGCCGTACCTCCAAAATCAAATAGTCTTTATACTGTCATTGATTGGCACTAATTATATTATTCACAGAAATTTTAGATGGTAACATCTTATCTATTGAACTCTTTAAATCCTGTGGTGGTCATGGAAGAAGCCTCACTATTAACAGCCAGCTAGTTAAAGAAGACCTAGCATCCTACTTACCTGGGTAAATATACTGTGTGTAACAGTGTTTGGAAATACTGAATTTGTGTAACAAAATTACTGGCTTTAGTATGGCACCGCCAGTGGCTGGAGTTTACCACATTTGTGATTAAATTCATTACAAATCATTCATCAATTGATACAAGTTACGGAGTGTAACTCTACAGTTTGGCATAGTTGAATTCTCAAACTGAATCCTGACAACATACTGTATTGAAATTGTATTTGATGCAGAACTTGGAGATTAAACGTTTGCATTGTACTTGTAGTGTGTTTAAGTGCCAGATCTTCCCAGACTAGTTATACTTAAGGTTATCCTTCCCTTATACTAAGAAAAGAAATATCACTTTGTAGTGGCCAAAAAAAAGTGAGTCAGAGTGTTTTTTCTTCTTTCTGCAGGGCAGGGGCTGTTTATTGTCTTTATTCTCTCTTTTTCTTCTTACAGTAATACATATTTATACAATAATACATACTTAATGCTCTCATTCAAGCTCTTAATAATGAGCAAATCAGCAACGAGACGGTCATCAACCCTCTCTCCCACAAACAGTTCCATCCACCTTAGCACAGCCTGGCAGTTTCTTATCTCTCCTCCTGGGCCTGCTTCTCCTCAAAACAGTTCTCTTTCTCCAGACCTATCCCAAACTAACTTATTTTTCTTCAAAGGCCTGTTTCTCCTCAAAGCCTTACTGCTTCTCCGGGCCTGTGCGGAGCAGAGCTAGCACTTCTCTGAGCCTGAGCAGAGCTGACTGGCCATTGTTGATTTGGTTCTTAAGTATTGAATTTCCCACAGCTGCGCAGGGCTGACAGGCCAGTGCCAACTTGCCCCTTAATCATGTACCAGTAACAAATTTGAGTCTCCCACAGCTGTGCAGAGCTGATGCTCCCACATCACTTTTGTGTGTTTAACTTACACCTAACACAAGTCATCTCTTTGGAAGGTCTTACTAGAAAACAAATAACTCGGATAACCGGCTACGACAGCAACAGACAGAAGAGTTGGGAGTCCTGCGGGGGGACATGAAGCTGATAAGGAGATAACACTGCTGTATTTAATTTGTTGTCTTTTCATATAAAAAGATTATCTATGGGCTGTATTCATGAAAATCAATAATTACTCTTATTAATAATTTTTGAATACTGATGAAAATAAAAATATTGTTATATAGACAGTTTTGATTCCAAAAGGGAATTCCTGAATTGCTTTTATTCAGGAGGAAGAAAATAAGCGGATTTTCATTTCTTAGCTCAGAAATATAACTAAATCCTAGTAACACTTTTCTTACACTGATCACAATTTTAGTAAGATTTTTGTAAAATTAAACAGCTTTACTTAAACCTGAACAGCTGAATTGTTTTGTTACTGTCAGTAGGGTATTTAGTTGTCTTGCAAGCTATACTTAAGATACCTACTTGCAGCCTGCAAACAAGTAGGTATGTTACTTTAATGTGAGTCGCTGTGTAACACTGATAACTTTACTAATGTAGATTTTTCAGTTGCTTGCTCACTCCCTTCTTTAGTTGGACCAGGTAGAAAATAGAAGAAACAGGAGCAAAAAGACATCATTATGAGTCTAAATACAGGGAAATCACTTACCAAGTACTGTTGTAGGCAAAACAGACTTAATTTAACTTATTAGTAATTAGTATAGATAATTATTTATAGTATTAAATATTTAATTAGATTCAGGCATTGGGACACAAAAGACAAATGTTTATAGTGCCTACCCTCCCCCTTTCCCAGGCTCACATTTACTCCAAGCACCTCTCCTCCTCCTCCACTCAGGTTACACACAGTTCCTTCAGTAAGGCAGTAAGCAGTGCAGGGGCTTGGGGTCAGGACAACACAGTGTTTTCTTTCTGCTGCTTCTTCCTTCTTACTCTTTGCTTCCTGTGCTCCAGCATGGATCCTCATAACCCCATTAGGGTTATGATTACTCTTTCATGTTTAATGCTGTTGAGGGATACCCAGGCCAGCTCTAAACTAGTATAAGACAATATAAGCAGGAGAGCACAGCGCTCCATAGAAGCTGACTTGCTGATTGGGATAGGAAGTAGTCCATACAGAATTCCAGGAACAAACCTTGGAGTCTGAAGTTCATTTCAAATTGATTCGTTTTTATGATGAATCTGCAAGGATAGTGCTATAGTGGAGTTACTAGAGAGGGTGTTGTAAGACATGTAACATGTATTTCACTTGGGAGAGCTCTCCATGACAGATTTGCCTCTGTCCATGTCATAGTTCAGACTCATTACATGCAAGGCAAGTATATTTGAGCTATGATGTTCATTTCTTTCCTGGTTTTGTATGTTAGCTCTTTTGCCCAACAGCTTGCAAGTACTTGTATCAAGAAGGTTTGCATAAATAATTGTGTAGCAGTATGTAGTGAATGATTCAATACTTCACAGAATTTTCTTTTTGACAGAGCAGTTTGTTTTCTTCCCATGAAGGAAAAGACAGGTGGTAGATCTCTGAAAACAAAAGTTTCTTCCTGGAAGCCCAGAAATGGTCAACAGTTAAACTCGTGCTTGCTGTCTTCTTTAGTCAGTGATGTTTACAAGAAGCCAGTTCTTTTTGCATTAACAGCTGGGTTTTTTCAACCTTCAATCTCTTGTGTCTCTAGTTGGCACAGTTCACATGCTTGTACTAAGCTGGGCTGAGGCTCAAAATACATACCAGCCAACTCTTGTTTGCTGCTGGGCTTTATCCAGTTCACACAATTAAACAAGTTTTCATCAGGGTACTATCATGACCATACTTCTTTCACTACTCTACTTAGGAAAGTGCTAGCACAAGTCATGTTGTATTTGTATCCTCAGGGAATGCTATAAAGGTGAATGTTTCACTAATGTTAATGTTCTTCTGAAAGGAACGGCTACGTATCTTGGAAGTTGAATGTTGCATCTTTCACTCCGAGGCACTGTTGATTTCCAGAAGCATGATATTTGTAATTTGATGGTTTTTAAGCCAGACATAAATAGTAGAATGTTCAGTAATATCAGCTGCTTTTCTGCCGGCAGCCTATACTGCATTGTGCTTTAATCTGTCAGTAGAATGTGCAAGGATACCTTCCGAAAGAGAATAAAAATAAGTTACTATCATCAGTGTTTCAGAATTAGCATTAAGAAATGTCTTTGGGTTTTGTTGGGATTTTTTTTTTTATTTTCTAAGTTATTTGTTATTCTTTACTCTTCATGTTCAATGATTTCTGTCATGTTGAACTGTGGTTGGTACTGAGCTCTTTTTTACTTCGTTTAAAATATGTTTAAACTTTCCATTCTTATTACTTTTACAGGTACAATGAAAGTAATGCTGTAAGGCCCAGTGAAATATGGGATGTTTCTCTAGAAGAAATTCCTGAAACCTTGGAAGCTTTAAATCTGTCAGACATGGAATCTGTGGATGAAGGAGATTTCAAATCAATTTCTGAGAAAGAGCTCCAAGTGAGAATTAGTCATGTTGTGTCTCCTAGTAAAATTTTTATGCAATGGATGTCATCAGAAAGTATCCTGAAAAGGTACTAAAATCCAAAGAATTTCTCTCAAGGCATTCTTATTACGAGCTGTTGAAGCACAGTTAGAACAAACTGATGAGGGTTGCGTTTGGCACTGAGTACTCTTGAATACTGTTGACTTAATCTTGCTTCACTGAGGAAAGTATAGGAACAGAAAGCAGATTGGCACTGTATTATGGTTCATTAAATATTTCTGATTCCAAATTAAGTACATGATCTAACTCCTACTTCAAATCTGGTTTAATGTAGTAAATATTGGGGACTGATAAATGCAGCACTGTCCAGAAAGATGAGATTATTGCTTGCTCTTTTCTCCTCCCCATTCCTTCTTTAGAAAACTTTTTAAACAATACCAGTATCATAAGTCATAGAACTTCACGTTAGTTATTTCAACATGATTCTAATATACTATTAGAAGAGTTTGAAGGCAGTTTCTAGACATGGTATATCAATCTTCCTTTGGTCGATATTTAGGTAATGTTTAGATAATAGTGCATGCTGTTTGAAGGCAATTAAATGGAAATAACGTTGTGCAGTGCAAGTTGCTTATTGTCTGCCTCTTATTTCTCCTTTCTTTCATCTTTTTACCTTGCATCTAGCTACATAGAGTCTCATTGAATTGGTCGTGACACGATAAGTATCACACTCTCAAGCTGTCAAGAAGAAATAGTGCATCTTTCAAATAGTGCTATACAGAAAGGGTTAGGATGGCTCAGATTTAGTTCTGTTGTTTAAGAAAAGTAATAGTTTTACAGAATTTAAACAGATTTCATGTGTTCTGAAGCTCCGTTTCATGTATTTCTAACATGTCATGAAGAAAAACTACAATACTATGTGACTGTTAAACAGTGACTAAAACTTTGTGCTAGTTAAGCACTATTTGACTAGATAAACCCTTTATTCACTGGATAAAATTTTGCCACTAGAAAAGTAGTTTTTTTGAATGTTAGTTTACAGGAGAAGATGGCTATCGTCTACAAAGAATCCCAGCCACAGTCCGTGAAGTGGGAAAGTAGTATGCACTGTGCTGTTTACATACAGGATTTGAAACAGTGGCAAAGAGGTCAAATAGGCAGCATTGTCTCCGAAACAAGTATAAAGGTAAACCTCTTATTGTAAGAGGGTTCATACTTTCATTTCTGAAGTTTGTAAGCATTCATTGATTAAAATAATGTCAAGTATGTGCTTCTTAGCTCCGTGTTAGTATTTTCTCATACAGCCTTTTGCATTTCTTGAGAGTTTAAGTTAAATTGTACATTGCTGTGAAGATTACTGTCTCATCAAAGCTCAGATGCCTTTAGCAAGGAACCAGGTAGTTGAGGAAGTCTCATAAGGTTGATTTTGTGTATGTTTACACTACACTTTGTAACATGGCACAGATTCCCAAGCTATAACCTACCAGTTTAGCTTAGATTCCAGAAGCTGCGTGAGTCTGAGGGTCCCATTAATTTAAACTTAGTGATCCTTGCTAAAAGATGGAGCTAGTTGAACTGAAGGCAACACCGCAGGTACATGTGTAGTCATGCTGTTGCTCGAGCCCTAAACTGATGTTGATGTATTGTGCCATGTAGGTGTAACATTTTCCACAGTAACTTCTCACACAGTGCTGCTTTAAACATGCATTTTGTTGCACTCATTTGAAAAGAGTAAGGAGAATCAAAAGAGGCATTTCGTGAATAGGTAGCTACTTGCCTCAAAAGTAAGAGTGGCTTTTTAATCACATGAATAATTCAGGACTGGATTACCATTGGTTTTCTCCACCATCATGAGATGATGCCTGTGGATCTTGTTAGTAGGAAGCAGAAGTGGAACTTTCTATACTTCTGGTGTGCATCATCTGCTTTCAAAGGCTAAGGGCCCTTAAACAACTATTTAACCACATCAGAATAAAAAGCAAGGGCTGGAGGGGAGCTATTTCAGCATTTCTAGGTTTACAAATTTAAACGCACCAACATAACAAGCACAGGAAAAGAAATTTTCTTACCCAAGTAACAGCCTCTGTGAAGTTGTTTGGCCGCCTCTGAGCATATTTCTGTGTTTTGTCCTTTCAGTGCACTGTGGTAGTAGTCATTTGTATTGTGTGATGAAGTACTTAGTGCAAAGGCCTTTCGTTGAATCCTTGTGTGTTTGAATTTTGTTTACATATTCAGGCACACTTAATTATTTGTTACAGATAACACAAAGGGTTTTTTCATTGTGTTTCTTGTCTATATCAGGTATTACTTTATGATTTTGGAGTTGAAAAAACAGTGGATATCAGCTGTCTAAGAACACTTAAGGAAGATATGAAGATAATTAAGACATTAGCAGTAGAGTGTTCCTTGGTAGATATAAGGTAGCCTTTTCCTTATACTAAGTAGCAGTATTAGAAACCTAATATTGACATAACAGTATTTTCCTGCATTAGCACTGATATCTTAGATTTGGATGTGGTTTGGTTTTTTGAGTAAAGAAGAAATGGGATGGCAGCTTTACAGAGGGCTTCTTTTTCTAAGGGTTATGCTACATGCCAGTAAAGCAGAAGCTGTGCTTTAGAAAGTAAATATTTATATGATGAATTCTAAAATTCTGGACAGATTATAGAGGTTTTTGTTATTTCACTGAATGCTTTTTTCCTTGGCTCAGAATTTTGAGGTGAATCAGATCTCATTAAAATGTACAGGAGGTCTCTCTTTTTCTAGAGTGTAGAAAAAGAACACCATGGTATTCTCCTGTGCATTTGTTTGTGTGCTATCTGTACTTCAGATAAAAAAAATCATGTTTGTAATATCCATTCCCTGAATGAATATGAAAAGCCTAATTTGCAGATGAAGTATGGATTTTCCATTGTTCTGTTGAGACAGATGCCATGCTTAAGGAATTCATGATCCTCCTTATTTTGAAGTTTTGGGGTTATATTTTTTAATTCTTCCTGCTACATAGATCTAGAGGTGAATAACCATTTCTTTATATTGTTGACTGGAATGAAAATTTTTTTCCAACAGTTCAGACAATTTAAAAAAAAAAAAAAATCAGTAAAGGGAAGGGGTTGTGTTAAGATCAGGAGATGCCACCTTCTGTTGTACTAAAGGAGATTATAATTTGTTCTGTGTTAGACCAACAGGTGGAAGCATGCAGTGGACAGCAACAGCCTGTGAATATTTATCCCATTACCTAATAGGGACACAAGTAAAAATAATCATACAGGTTTGTAATCAAAACCAGCAGTATTTGTATAATTTCTGTCAGGCTGTCTGTTAATTTAATTTTTTTCCAAATATGTTTACTCTTCAAAAAGTCCTGAATGGTATTTACTTAGATTTCTCTTTGCTGTAGGGGAAAAGATGCTTTTTATTTTTTCTGCTTTACTTTTTTTACTGAGCGGAGCAGTTTGTCTACTCAGTGTGGAAAGAAGAGAGTCCTAGATATATTTAGTTACTGAAGAAGAATATTTAGATCTTTGGGATCACTGGATGCTGACAACTTTTATGGACAGATGAGCAAGGTGCTCATATTCTTGATGAGAATGATTTCAGCAGCTGCTATATTAGTTTTCAAGCCTCAGAAACTGAAAGAACGAGTCTGCTGCACAAACATCATTAGTAATTGATTTCCTCTACCGGTAAAGAAAGCTGAGTTGTTATGAGGGTTTGATTTTTGGTGTCTGTTGGCAGCTGCCAGTGAGGTTTTACAGTGTGTCTGGAAATAAAAGCACTGATGAGCAAAGTTACTTATGAGGGGGATTAAAGCTCCTGCTGGAGGAAAACAAGTGGCAGTTCATTCTAAGAAAACAGATAAGGCAAGAAGCAGGGTTTTATTCTGTTACTTTAATGTTATGTTTAGAACAGTTGGTAAAAGGATAGGAACTGACAATGATTACATAAATTTTGTCTTCTGATGTGTGCATCAGTTAAGTGATGTCTGATTTGCAGTCAGTACCAATAAAATGAAAAAATAATGTCTGTAGTTTAGAGGAAATGGATATTGTAATATGTTATCCAGCTCTCATTTTTTTTCAGGAAAGTGATGTGGCTCATGCATTGCCTGTGAAAATGCTTTGCAAAGATGAAACAGGACAAATGATTGATATTTCAGAACATCTTATTAAAAAGGGTTTGGCTTTTAGAAACAAAAGGTTTGGATACTTTTATATTCTTTCAGACTGTCATATTCACATTATGATAAGTGAAACAAAAATTTGGATTGTTCTCTACAGCATATGTAGCAACAGAACTACATCTTTAGTGAACTTTTTTGAGTATAACATTATTAATTCACTGCATGTTTCATTTCTCCAAGTTGGTAGATGACATCTTTGACAGTACTTAAACAAGCATTTGCTATCTTTTTGTGTTTGTTTTTTTTTTTTTTACTTCTATTTACTATTTTGCACTTTTAAAGTTCTTTGTCACTTAATATGATTTGATTGAATCTGCTAGAACTGTTGAAGCTGATGTGGCTTGCTCAGTCTCCAAGGAACATCTTGAACATTTTGAGCAAGAGAACACACAACTGGATGGTTATAATTCTGAAACTGCATGTGCAAGAAACAGTGCTGCTCCAGAGGAAAATGTGACTGTTTCAGAGAGTGAACAAACATCATGCAAAATATATAAGCCACTACTTCATTCAGGAACAGATGAAATATATAAATCCCCCATTATGCCCGAAGTGAAAATTTTTCAAGCTGTAGTAAGTTGCATTGGATATGATGGGACTATCTATATAATACCGAAATCACTTGGTAAGATTACGTGGAAGAAAGTACATTTATGTCTATGAATCTTATAAATTTACTGTATCAGAATATATCAGACGTGCTACCAGTATACATGTTCTGTATCAGAGCATAGTTGTGGAAGATTGCTGTGGGGGAGGATTGCTGCCAGGAGGTGATGAGGCCTTTGGCGTGGGTATGAGAGGTATGTGACTGTGCACCCCTTACCCTGCAGCCCTGGAGAGAGTTCCCACAGTTTCCCAGTAGGGAAACTCCAGGATGGGGTGCCCTGTCATCAAACCCATCAGAATTGGCTCCCCTGCCCTTCCACCCTCCCAAGAAATCGGAAAAACCCCAAGTGCATGGATGAGCAGGTCACTTGCCTCTTTCCTCTAGGTGGTATTGGGTAAAGCAGCAAGTGCTTTATATTATAATGTTCAGACTGTGATACATTTTACTAATAATAATGAAGATACAGTCCTAAAGATGCTCAGAGGTTAGCCTGGTTCTCAAATATTACTGGATTTTTTCTTTCAGTGTGAACTCAGTACCCAGTTTCCTTAGGCTCTTTATTTGTACTGAGATTCTGTATCTCATAATAATTTCTGTTCATACTGTTTGAAAGAGGTACATTTTCATCTAACAGATGACAGTGATAGTCTTCAGTACTGCAAGAATATATTGTGCTTTAGAGAAATGTTTCCATATGAGAGCATTATTTTTTCTTTTGTTTTCTACGCTACAAGTACATTTAACTATTGGGTCGTATAATTGGATTCAAAGTACAGTACCCCACTGGCCCAAGACTATTGTGCTGTACCCATAGCAGAACAGGGTCTTCTGGACACTTGTTTAGTGTTTCATGGTGTTCTACCACTGTCTCTGGGAATCTATTTTTTTGTTCACGGAGAGGCTCTTGTATTAGTGCTGCTAAGGTGTCAGTTACAAAAATTAAAGACACTTTCTGAGATTAAAATCCAGAATTACTAATGACTTCACAATTGGAAATGCAGTTTAGTTTTTTAGTAGTAACTCGTTTGTGGATACTAGATGTTGAACATACATATTGTATCAGTGTTGGAAAACATTTTATGGAGCAGCACTTGTTTTATGTTTATACATATCTTCATCTGAATCTGTTGGGTTTTAGTGATTGAAATAATTTGTACTAATATGTTATAGGCTATTCTGAATTTATCTTTTTTCTCCCCGCCTCCCCCCAGAAATGGCATTAGAGAAATTGATGACCGAAATACAAAATGACTTCAAATGCCTTGGTCTTCTGGAGCCCTACTGCTGGAAGAAGGGACAAGCTTGTGTTGTAAGAGGATCAGATACCAGGTGGTATCGAGGTAAAGTTGTAGAACTTGGTGGTGATACTCTTGAGGTAAGTTTGATTGTGTGGTGTGCTTGTGTGTGCATGAACATGTGCTTGTGTATGTTTTTAGAAAAAAAGGCAAATAATCTAATCTTCTAAAACAAATTTATAATCACACCTTTTTTTCATTCGTCTGACCTGACTATCCAGATGTTCGTTCTGCTCAAAAGTGTGATAACTGTCCTGATTTTTACATTTATTTTAAAGATTAATTTTATCTACCTATTTCAGTTGTCACAATTTTTCCCATAGTCTTCCTGGTGATGATAAATGTTCATAAGCAAAAAGCTGCCCTTTATCACCTATAAGTAATCCCTTTCAGATGTTTTTCTTCTATTTTTGTTGTTACTGTATATGGAATGCTTTGAAAACATTAGGTTGAGCTTCCCCCGATCCTATCCGCATGCAAAAAGTAGTGGATGTCTTTGTTTTGAATTCTTTACACTGCACAGGTGTGGAGCTACTTTTTCTAATCAGTAGCTAATCTTATCTAAACTCTTGAGTCTATTAGTCCTTTTTGAATGTAGATTTGCAAGTCTGACATTGTTCTCGCTCACAGTTTTTTTCCTTTCAATTTTAAACTGCTGTAGGTTGTTACACAAAAGGTATGATCTCTTGCAAGACAAGTTTAAAAACTGAACTTCTAATCTGCCATACCAGTTTTTTAATGCTTTCCTTCATTTCCACTTTGTCACATCACCTACTTAACAGCACACCATTATTTTTTCCTCCAGAAAAGTGAATACTGTAAATGAATGCTTTCTCATATTAAACTTGACTTTTAAGAGAACGGTTATTTCACGAGAACTTTTCTTCTCATGTAGGTACAATACATAGACCGTGGTTGCACAGAGAGGATTCCTCAGTGTCATCTGTATCCAACTACATTGTATACTGGTATTCCTCCATTTTGCATACCCTGTCAGCTCTACAAGACAGTACCAGTGAGTAATGGTAGATTTGCAGATGTTTTACTCAGAGGTAGTTACTCAAATCAATAGACTGTTTAGTTATAGAAAAGTTGAGACTAGTTGCTGGTATTTTTTTCTTGCCTATGAGTGTTCAGAGAATAGCTGATGAAGATCATTGGAGCAAGGCAGCCGTTTATCAGGAACTGCCAGATTAGTTTATGAAGTGACCATGCTTTGAAAGCAGCTGTCATTGGAATTAAATCTTTGTGAGACAAGACACTTTAGCAGTTGGCAGGATGATCCTCTGAAGTTTCGCAATAGCAGCAACAAGAAGTAAGGCCTGGATTTCTTAAATCTTAAGTCCTACAAGAGTGTTTCTATCATTCTGAAATTAGCTGTGTAGGAAGCAATCTGTTACTCTAAATTCAGTCAAGTGAATTGCTTTAGAGGTTTTTGTTAGTAAGTAATTGATATGTAAATAACATCTTCGCATATCATCACATCTTATTGAAAGTTGATTGGTGCATTTAGTCAATGTGAATTACTCCAATGACTAGCTTACTTTTCTAAAGAAAACCTTTTGCTGGAAGCAGTTCAGCTGATAGGCTTATAAACCTGTCTTTCTTAACCTGTAGGTTGGGAGGGAAACAGATATTACTGGGAATAAAAAAATGTTTATCCTGTGTTTTATATTGTCTGAGTGCAATTCTGTATCTTTGAGTTATGTTTTGGGTAATTGTGCACACATACATTATTAAGTATACGGTAAAGGTTAGACTTAGCAAGCAGCATCTCTTTTTATAAGCCACTTAAGGACTTGAAAATTGCTGGTCAGTTTGTCACACCGTAAGTTTTAGTGCACCAAATAGCAGATGATGTTTAAACTGTTGTAGACAAATCAAACTAATGAAGTGTGTTTTCAGATAAGCTTTTCAATGATAGTCATGTATTTTCATCTTACTGTGTTAAAAATAGTAAAGAGTATTACTTGTCAGCATCTTAATGTGTGGGGGTTTCTTGCTTTTCACCGAACAGATGGGAGATTTTTGGCAGCAGGATGCAATAGTTTGCCTTCAAGATATACTTGTTAATGAAGAGGTTGAAATACATGTTCAGGTAGGTTAATTTGTTCATATATGTGGACTGAGGCTTTTTATTCTCTTTTTTTTTTTTTTTTTTAACTTGCATTAAGAATAATAGGTGAAGGAGTATAGCAGTAAATGTTTTTCTTAGACAAAACAAAATCCAGAACTAAAATTACTTCTCCTGTGACTTTACCTTTATTATTTTCAGGCCTCACATGTGTCCTTTAGAGATACTAATATTTCTTTGGTCCTGTTTGTATTCTGCGTTGTCATTCTGACAAGCAACCTACATGCCAACAGCATAAACTCTTCAATTTTAAGTGATAAAATCTGGCATAATTAAGTATGGACATGCTTAAATTAATATATTAACGTTATAGGGAAACACATAATCTGTATTGTCTCAAAACCTGCAATTTCAGATAGTTTAATTTCTACTGATAAATTGTGAGAGGGGTTTATTGCTGACTGAGAAAATACAGGGGTAATGTTTCAGTGTCAGAATGAGTAGTCAGTCCTACCATTCCAGAAATAAATATATTCCCATTTGTATCATAACTGATGTTAATAGCCATCCTTACTTGTTTTATATCTTTGATGAATGATCATGATGTGTACAGGAATGACAGGTTTGAATTTGCTGGTCACTATTTCTTAAACCTCAGTCATGCTATTACTGGTGTAATATTTTTGTCTTTTGTAAGTAGGAATTGCCAGATAACCCATGGGGCAAATTGTCTGTCAAGCTGTATTTTGGTGGAGTCTCACTTTCTTCTTTCATGGCATGCCAGAAGTACTGTGTTGCTGAAGATTGTGAGGACACACTGAAGCTGGTGAGATTTGTGTGTGTGTGTGTCCTTTGTTGTTACTCTGACATTAAAAACATTACTCTGTTGCTTGTTGTGACCTTTGATTTCTTAATTCTTTTTATATTTCTGTACAGTTTTGTGATGTAAACAGCAGTAAGACTGTAGGATACGATGTGTTAGTAAGATTGTATGAAATGGGAAAAGAGATTTTTGCATTTCTGTTTTAAAGTCCAAGTTGTTTTTGTGTTCCTCTGAAGCTTAAAATGGTAGGAATAGGGTAAGATGTAATACTTTTATCACTTGACTATATTAGTTAATCATAGAAATATATCCAAGGATGAAGATGTTCAGAAGTAAATTGAATCAAATATTTCAACATAAACCTAGTGATTTCTAAGGGAGTTAACAAGGTTCTTTATTCCAAGTGTATGGGATGTTCATGTGGTGTTCTTTAGAGGAGGATTGAAATTTTTGCCAAACTTCATTGTCTTAATACATAAAAATCAGGTTGTTTTTTTCTTGATATCTGAGGATCAGGTTTATTTAAATTACTAAGGTTTTGTTGTTGCATTCTTCTCTTAATTCTGTTTAAGCCTGACAAAGTATTTTTCTTTCCAACATGAGTCTATGCTTCAGAAAATAATTTTACAATACAGAGTACACTGCTGTCACTACTGATTAAAGTTTTGGCATGTGTGTTAGTGGGCTTGTGATGCAGTTAGAAAAATCTCTCAGTCTGTATTAGAACTGAGTAGCCACGGAAAACCTAATTGTAAATCAGTCTCTTGTTGCATTTTCATAAAGTCAGCAAAACACAACTTTCAGCAACTAAATACAGATTGTGAATCAAAATTGTACCCTTAAAACAAAAATGAAATTTGGAAAACAAAGCCGTGTAAGAAGGTTGTAAGCAAGAAGCATTCAGAAAGCCTGGAGTGCTTTTTGCAAGGAATATAGCATTAGGCAGATCCAGTCCAGGAATAAGTGATCCAGAACAATTTGTAAGAAAATGAGTGTCAAGAGTTGTTCAGTTGTGGACCAGAAAAGGAGCAAAGCATCCAGAGATCAAGCTGGTTCGAGGAGCAGAACCTTGGGAACAAGTAGAAGCAGGAAGCATGCCACATTGAGAACGTTCGATCAGTCAGCTCTGGGTTTAGCTGTAGAGGCTAAGCAGCCATCTTCACAAGACAACTGATACACTGCACTGACTAAAGGATACTATGACTATATAAAGTCTATATATGTTGTTATTTTATAGTTTGTAACTTTTTTCATTGCTTCAAGTGTGTGTTTTCAGGTAAGTAATCTGATATGGTCTGTATTCTGTTCTGTGAGTAATTTTGTTAATATTAGGCAGCAGAATATTGGGGAGTACACCAGAACCCCATGCATGGCAAGCTTTTTTTTGTTCCTGTACTACTGTGAGTCAGAACTGAGTAGCTGTGTGCTGCCTTTTGCTTGTATATTGAGACATGGAGGACCATGACCTTGCTTCATTTGATAGTCGAGTTTTTAATCTCTTCATTCTGAGATCAGACTTAACTAACAGTATAATTTTTAGAACTGCTTTTTCTACAGCAGTTCACTACAAACCATTCCCAGCTATCTCAACCAAAATTGATTCAAAATTCCTTGTACAGACTATTTTTGAGTTTAACTGCATTGTGTATCAGCCCCTTTACAGTGAGGTATTTGAAGTCTGCAGATTTTAAGATCATAATATGAGAGAACCCTTGGCCACACTGTTATATCTTAGTCCACCCCTGAAAATGCCGATGCTTAGGGTTTTTTTGAAGTCTTAGTGTAGGTCAAAGGAGAGATGTGCTTCAGATTGCTGTTGATATATTAGCCATATTCATTCAATTAACACCTGCCTTCTGAATGACAACAAAGACAATGCTGGAAAGACTTCATACAAAGCCATTTTTGACTTTACTGACTTGTAGTCATCTGAACACTTCAGCATTGCCAGGAGCTGCTCAGGCTGCCAGCTATTACAGAGAGAGTCTCCGTCTTTTCAGGCACAGAGAGAAATCTTTAGGCAGAAGCAGCAGTGTACAGAGGGCTAATTCCTCCTTTGGCTCTGCATGGACTTCCATGATAGATGAGGGCAGATGCTGCAGTTGGTGTTGCAGTGCTGCATGCATCATTACACATTCCAGCACTGAGATTGTTATGTGGTTTGGCACTTCAGCTTGCAGGAAGGGTTACTCCTGTCCCTATTCCCCACTTTTAAATAGGCAGTCAGTTTCCTCTAAAACCAATGATCTGTATGACTAAAAGACCTGCCAGATGCCCTGAGCTGTTGTTTCCGTATTGGGAATTTATCAGGACAAGCCTGAATGACTGCGGACATATGTTGAACGCCAGCCGTGTGGGTCATAAGTCCCACCATCTCTTGACACCAACAAGACCTGTTCTGTCACTTAAGTTTGCAACAAAATTAGTGGAAAAGCATTCTGCAAATGCCTAGACAGAAACTTTCTTTCCACTTTCCTTTTGTCAGTGTGAGAGTAAAGTGTAAGACACCCTGTCTGTTTCAGGGAAATACAGACTTGCCAGACTGTCACTTTGGTCTTACCATTCTAAAGATGTCTTTAATGTCTCACACTACTGGGTGGTAGAGAAGGAAGTACTACATAACACACTGCACTGCAGCCTGTCATTTACTTAGTTTGGATTAAATTCTTCATGCTGAAAAGCACTCTTGTGTTGCCTTAAGTATACAGTATTATGTGGTGTGTGTGTATACATTAAAAATATATGATTTCTGCTATGGCTTTACAGATGTAGTAAGGAATAAAAGCCATATTTAGATTTTTAAAGAATAGATACAGAGGATGAGGGACAATTGTTTGAAATAGGTAACTCCTAAAGATGTCTTGGTAGAACCTCTTTTTAGCACAGTATTTACAACTGGACTGTCTATGCCTACATGTGGTAGATCTAGCAGTAACCAATCTACTGACAGTAAGAAAAGTCTGTTAACATTAACAACAAAAATGTGACCTGCACAAGAGCTGATTGAGATACCCAATTTAGCTTCATGCAGTGCTCAGTTGGGAATGAGCTGAAATTAAGTTGAATCTTTAGAGCCAGGTGTGGTCAGGTGGTCTGTCATAATGTTCCTGATTGTTTTGCAGAGATCTGGCATTTAGTATGTATGTATCTATGATATATTTGGACATCCTTTCTTTACTAGTATTTATCAAGATTGATTTTTCTCTTTTTAATCTTAGGAATACATGCTTTCAATGGCAAAACTTCTAGTTAAGTCTAATGTTTTCTGTACTGTATTGTATGTCAGATCATGAAGGGGGAAGAGGAGTCATAATTTACTGCTTTATTTCGCAGTTATATATATCTGGTTGCTTTCACTTTTCTTTTTGTTTGGGCATAATGGAAACTGTTCATCAAGTAGATGTCTAAAACTAAAATGTATTTTAGAGAAATTGTACTTTTTATTATGTATCATATTAAAGTACAAGAGAGAATAGAAGATGTATTCATGACCTATGATCCATCTGAGCTATGTGCTATACATCCTTATAAACGTATAATGTAATGCACCAAGATTTATTTTGTCATGAACCAAATGAATTAATGGCATGTAGAATGCCAGCTGTAAAATACACAGTTCTAGAAGAAGACACAATGGAACACTCTTTGCCACTGAGATCTGAAAAATCTGTTACCTTTTTGAAGGATAGTCCTGGTGGCTAAGGAGTTAAATTATCCTTTGCTGTTCTCTTAAGGGATAACTTGCACTGGTAAACTGCAGTAATATTGGGCATGGCATTCAGGTTAATCTGTGCAATTAATTGCTATTGTTTTAGTTTTTCTTTCTAAATACTTTCACTCTTTTAAAGGTAATTCCATATTTAATGCATTTTTTAATTAACAGCAATCAAGTTAGCAAGTCAGTATATTAGGATCATTTCAACGATATATTCATATTTTAAGTGTTCATCAGCTAGTTCTGTTATGTTTTAGCTAAAACTTTTTTTAAAACCTACTAAGTATTGAAAGGAAATGTCGATTAGTATTTTTTTTCATCAAGGACACACTGCTTACATTATTAGATCACTCCTTTGAACCAGAAATTATACCAAAGCTAGTTTCCATTTTGTTACTAAATATGATGCTTGATTAAAGTCTTTCTTGGTCTAGGAGCTACTTGAAGGACACGTTCCTGGTTTGCCTTCATACATGTTGCCATCGCTGCCTGTTTCAGGAGAGACCTTTACTGTCAGAGTTACCCATTTGGTGTCCCCTAAGGAGGTATGTTTTGTAAACATCTCATATATGTTGCAGACAGGTAATGTTTCAGTCCCATCATTCTGGTGAAAAGGAAATCATGGCTTACAGTTTTAGATAATATAGAATAGTATTAGTAAGGTTGCAAAATGCTTCTGAGTTATTGATGCAGATGGTTGTACAGTGTAATTATCTGAATGAACTCTTATTTGAAATACCTCTTGGAATGAGGACAGAGAAATAAATACTGAATATTTCCCTTTAAAAAAAAAAAAAAAAAAAAAAAAAGGAATTTTAAGAATTACAGTACTGTAGTCTGGTACTACTTGCACTGTATAATAAGGAAATAGGTCATTAGGTTTTAACTTGGCAGAACAGTAATGGTTTATCTCTATTCTCCAAAAATTTAATTACTGGAACATTATATAGCAATGTGAATGTTTTCTGGGTGCTACAGAATACAGGTTCTATTTTACTGTCTTTGGTCAATATTTGATGGGTTTTGTGTAAACCCACACAGCTTCCCTCTAGTAGTCTCCCAGGCAAAAGGCAGACTGTAACGTTCATTGACCAAATAAAAGATTCCTATGTGGACTTTGAATTCTGAATGATGAAATACGAGAACAGGAAGCAGTGAGAAGCTGATTGTGTTAATCACTAGTGAATCTAATGCTTCTAAGTGGATTGTTTTATATTATGTTCATTGTTTTGGTAAATCTGTAAACCAAATAACAGGTTTTAATAGTACTGAAGTGCTTGCTTTAAATTCAGCATTGTGGTCTAATATAAATTAACCCCACTAATTCACTTGGGTATACACATCTTTAAAAAAAGAAGTTGTATTGTGTACATATCCATTAGTACATTGTATAACACACATTATCCATTACTGATTTTATAGATAGGCAGCAATGAAGTTGCAACAGGAGATCTGAGGGCAGTCAAGAGAGACTTCAGAGCCTTGGGATGACTGGTTGAGGGATCAGGAGCACAAGTAGTGTTCTTTATCCTTCCAGTTGCAGAGAATGATGAGGAAAGGGAAGGAATTCAGGAAGAATCAGCACATCAATACCTGGTGTCACAGGCAGAATTTTGGGTTTTTCAGTCATGGGCCGATTTACATGACACCAGGCCTGCTGGCAACAGATGGGGTACACCTGTCTCAAAGGGGGGAAAGGGTCTATGTGTAGGAGTTAGCAGGGCTTAATGAAAGAGCTTTAAATTAGATTTGAAGGGGGAAGGAATAAAACCAGGCTCACTGGAGATAAGCCTTGTGTTAGGGAGTGTTTTGACTGTCTAGAGCTTGGTGATGGTGACAATGGGGTTAAGTGTTTATGGGTAAGAATCAGGAGGAAGGCCAGCAGGGTAGATAATAATGGTGGGAGTCTATTACAAACCACCCAGCCAGGATGAAGAGGCAGATGAAATACTCTACAGGCAGCTGGAAGAAGTCTCATGACTGTTAGACCTTGTTCTTGTGGGGGACTTCAACTTATCAGATGTCTGCAGGAAATAAAATACAGCAGAGAGGAAACACTCTAGGAGGTTCCTGGAGTGTGTGGAAGATAACTTTGACACAGCTGGTGAGTGAGCCAGATAGGGAAGGCACCCAACTAGACCTGTTGTTTGCAAACAGAGAAGGACTTGAGTCATGTGGTGGTTGGAGGCTGTTTTAGGCATAACAATCATGAAATGATACACAAGTTTTAGATTCTTGGTGAAGTAAGGAGGGGCATCAGCAGAACCTGCTACCATGGACCAGAGGGACTATTTAGGAGCCTGATTGACAGTGTCCCTTGGGAGGCTGTCCCAAAGGACAAACGAATCCAGGAAGGCTGGACATTCTTCAAGAAGGAAATCTTAAAGGTGCAGGACCAAACTGTCCCCATGTGCTGAAAGGCGAGCCAGTGGGGAAGAAGTCTGGCCTGACTGAACAGAGACCTTTGGCTGGAACCCCGGGGTGGGAGAGCGGAAAGAGAGTTTATGACCTTTGGAAGAAGGGTCAGGCAATTCAGGGGACTACAAGAATGTCGTGAGTTTATGCAGAGAGGAAATAGAAGGGCCAAAGCCCAACTAGTATTCAATCTGGCTACTGCCTTAAAAGACAATAAAAAATGTTTCTATAAATACATGAGCAAGAAAAGGAGGGCTGAGGAGATACGAAGGGTAAGGAAAAGGCTGAGGTACTTAATGCTTTATTTGCCTCAGTCTTTAGTAGTAAGGCTGGCTGTTCTTGGGATACCCAGCAGCCGGAGCTGGAAGACAGGGACAGGGAGGAGAAAGAAGCCCATAATCCAATGGGAAATCATTAGTGATCTGGTATACCGCTTAGCCACACACAAGTCCATGGGGCCAGATGGGAACCTGATCTCCTATGACAAAGTGACCCACTTAGTGAATGAAGGAAAGGGTGTTGATGTTGTTTACCTGGACTTCAATAAAGCCTTTGACGCCATTTCCCACGGTATTCCCCTGGAGAAACTGGCTGTTCTTGGCTTGGACGTATGTTCTCTTAGCTGGGTGAAAAACTGACTGGGTGGCTGGGCCCAAAGTGTTGTGGTGAATGGAGTTAAATCCAGTTGGCAGCCAGTCACGAGTGGGGTTCCCCAGGGCTCTGTATTGGGGCCAGTTCTGTTTGGTATCTTTATCAGAGATTTGGACGAGGGGATCGAGTGCACCCTCAGTAAGTTTGCAGACAACACCAAATTGGGCAGGAGTGTTGATCTGCTCAAGGGTAGGAAGGTTCTACACAGGGATCTGGACAGGCTGGAGCGATGGGCTGAGGCCAGTGGTATGAGGCTCAACAGGCTAGGTCCTGCACTTGGGGCACAGCAACCTCATGCAAGGCTACAGGCTTGGGAAAGAGTGGCCAGAAGGTTTCTGTCAGAAACAATCTCAGGGACATTGGTCTACAGCCAGCTAAATGTGAGCCAGCAGTGTGCCCAAGGTGGTCAAGGAGGCCAATAACACCCTGGCTTGTATCAGAAATAGTGTGGCCAGCTAGACTAGGGAAGGGATTGTCCCCCTGTGCTCAGCAGTGGTGAGGCCACATCTCAAACACTGTGTTCAGTTTTGGGCCCCTCACTACAAGAAAGACTCTGAGGTGCTGGGGTGTGTCCAAAGAAGGGCAACAAAGCTGGTGAAAGGTCTAGAGCACAAGTCTTATGAGGAGCAGCTGAGGGAGCTGGGGCTGCTTAGCCTGGAGAAAAGGAGGCTGAGGGGAGACCTTATCACTCTCTACAACTACTTGAAGGGTGGTTGTAATGAGGTGGGTGTCTGTCTCTTTTCCCTAGTAACAAGTGATAGGATGTGAGGAAAAGGCCTCAAGTTGTGCCAGGGCTTTAGATTGGATGTTTAGAAACAGGTTTAGATTGGATGTTAGGAAAAATTTCTTCACTTGAAAGGGTTGTCAAGCATTGGAAAAGGCTTTCCAGGGAAGTGGTTGAGTCACCATCCCTAGAGGTATTTATAAGAGGTGTAGAGGTATTTAAAAGAGGGTAAGCACACATGTGCTTACGGACATGTGTTAGTGGTGGACTTGGCAGTGGTAGGTTAACAGTTGGACTTGGTGATCTTAAGAGTGTTCTCCAACCTAAATGATTCTATAATATACAATTGTTTTGACTAAATACTAAAGATGGAAGTGTTTGGATAGCATAAAAAGGGCTTTTCTTAAATTATGTATTCTGCTTCCTCTCTTACAGGAGAAACTTAATACTGAATATTTTTTGGTTCCTTTTGTGCAAATGATTTGAGCTCTTGCTTTTGATGACAGTATATAGTTGTGAACTCTACATACTGCTCTGGACTCCTGTAGATTTAAGGAGTGGTTGTATGATAGGGTTACAGCTTGATTATATTGTGTACAAATCAGAAAATTAAAATTAATTTTCTTCCTGGCTAGTGAATTATAATGTTGAGTTATTAAAAAAAAATAACCTACTCATTATTTTATTTGGACTGTTAGTAGATATATTGTCATGTTTTGAAATGGCTCTGCGTAAAAAAAAAAACAAAAAAACATTTCATTTGTTACATAGATTTTAATTCACCTATGCATGTTATTTAAACTTTTATTTCCTTGACCTACAGTGTTATACTGATGACCTGGTTATAAATTAGGTGAATGAAATGTCTTTGCATAGCAAACAAAACACCATTTCAGAAGTTACTCTTTCATTAACTTTAATCTTTGGTTTGATACTATGAAGTGAGATTATTTACCAAGTAGCAGGAGGGAGGAATCCTAATAAGACACAGCTGTGAAATCTTATATGGGTATATTCTCTAGTATATGTACATTCCTTTAATTCTTTTGATATTGGTATGTGGTGTTAATAAATCATTACTCTCTTCTGTTTCTGGAAGAAAATTGTGTAAACAGGAAATTATTCATACATTGAGTAAAGAAGAAAGGGGAGAAAGGATGTGCTAAACCTTTCAAAGATGGGAACAAGTAATGTTCTAATAATTAATCCTTGATCACTGATGGAATTTGAAGGTTCTAAGTTATCTGCAAAAATTGTGAGAGTCTTTTCTTTGAGTAGGTATACATTTGCCTTGGTGCTTCTAAGAACCTTATGAAGCAGGCTGCCACAGAAGGAGATACCAGCTGTGACTCAGAGAGTCTTGATAAAGCCCTGAAGTGGTGCAATAAAAGTGTAGGGTCTCTTCCTCCTCTAACTTACTTCCAGAGAGGTATAGTAGTGTGTTTATTTTCCCTGTTGTTTTATGTAGATGTACAAAAAGCCTGAAATTCTTTCTGAAGGATAGGAATAATAATATTTCTGTGTATCTTTAAAACTTTTAGAGGGTAAGGAGTAACACTACAGTATAATCATATAATATAATCATATGGGTTTACTTTTCAAAGAACTGAGACTTCTGATGCCTGTTAAATTTGATGAACTGAGTTTAGACTGCATATGGCAGTAATAAAGCTTCCTTTAAGGTGACTGTCACTGAAGCTGTAACTGTGAAAATCTTGCTAGTAAATATTCAAAAGATATAAATTATGTACAGAAAATCATGTTACCAAGAATTAGGAATTATGTGAACCCTGAAGAGCATCACTTCACTTTAATTGTGAATTTCTCTATTTAGGCAAAAAAGATGGGCGTAAAGTCTTTTGTCCAGAGCTTTTGGGACTAAAATAACATAAAGTGTGTAGGTCTAAAACTTTGTGAAGAAACCAGTTATTGCTAGTACTTGGTTCTACCAACTAGTAAAATTCTGGTTGAGCCAGCATCTGCTTTCTCTCACAGATCAATCTGCTTACTAACTGAAATGTGCAAATGAGTCAAAGTTGAAAAGTTTAAGTGATAAACAGTTTGGATCGCTATCTTTATGAAGCAGTTTTCTGTAAGTTCTTATTGCTATGTGAGGTAGAGAAACTTGACTTAAATTTCATACTAGTGATTGTGAATTGGAGAATGCATAGAGCAAAATAATAGCATGAATTAGAGAAGAAACAAATCTTGGCCATGAAGTAAGATGGATTTTCAAATTCAGTTAATTTGTACTGCACTGTGAGTATATTTTGGGGTGGCTTATGTTGTTTTTTTATTTTTACAGGAATGCCTTGCCTTGTAGAATACCAGGATGGTTTATGGTATAGAGCAAAGATCCTTTCTGTTGAAGAATCTGACCCTGTTAATATCCTGGTTCAGTTTGTGGACTATGGTAGTTTCTTAGTTGTCCCAAGAAGCAGGTAAATGCATAAGAAAAAAAATGCATGTATGTGTGTGTGTATTTATGTATACATTTAGATTATAAAATATGTCCTTTAAATGTGTGTGTTTTAACATGTATTATTTCATATAACTATATAATTTATAATAATTTAGCATTAGATTTTAGTTGGAGAGAAGGTTGATTGGTTGGTTAAGTAATTGCTGTCTGCAGGGTATGGGCTTGTGTGCACCTCCTAAGTTGTTTTGAGAAGCCCATTATTATAACATCAGATTTCTCCATCATCTGCAGGTTACTTAACCTGTGAAGGAGGTTCAGGTTTATAATCTGCTTTTGCACCCAAGAAGCTTACACAAAATAAGGACTGAGCCCTCCAAATACACAAGCAAATCTTCTGATCCTGTACAACTGCAATCTGCACATAGGACAGCTGGGGAATAAGATAAGGGAGTATCTGAGTGGGATGCACCTCCCTCTGCTTGTGTGGAAAATGGAAGTTCAAATCCCTGTTTGCCTGGTGCTGAGCTGCTCTAGGAACTGCTCCTGTGCTGACACACAGATGTCAGCTAAGTGTCTTAAAACACCCCTGGCTTACAGGGTCCCCTAAGCTTGTCTGAATTTTCTCTCTTGGAGACTTTCACTTTATGTGTATATTGCTTAATCACACTGACTTGCTCTTGAGCTCATTGGGGAATCTACAGGTCCTTGCTGAAGATGAGGCAAAATGGGGATTTGAACAGATTCCCTGCTTCACAGAGTAGTAACGTCATGAGAGAGTGTTTTACTTCAGGGTTGCACTTCCTGCTCTGCTTCCCCATTCCCTTGCTTGAGAAGAATGGAGACATGATAATATAAAGCTAAGGTACCCATTTCCAGTAGTGTGTGTAGAGTACATCCAGGTGTGAAGTACTTTGGGCCATAAAGGTCTGTGTCATTGTCCAGGCGCACCAGATTTGGAGCCGTATTGTGATTCCTGCGCTCAAACCTGTATTAGGCCCTTGAGACTCCTTCCCAGGCATTGTAATGGGGAGCCAGTGTGCCTGGTGGGCTGAGGGGTCTCTGTGATACCGGCCTGCTTCTTGATGGTTACTGTGCTGAGGTCCTTCAGAGGGCCTAGCCCCACCCTATGGATCGTTGGGTCTGACAGCAGCATGTTACTGTAGAACAGGGACTCTGATCCCACCATAAATCTACTGCATGAACCGTTAGGCTATGTGTTCATACTGACAGTTCAGCTTGACAGGTGGATTGTTGCAGGCAAACATTTTTCATTCTTCTTTTAGATTGCGTCACATACCAACTTACCTGCTGAAATATCCCATTCAGGCAGTACGAGTTCTGTTGGCTGGATTTAAACCTGCTTTATATGACAAAAACGTGAAAAGAATTCCTTATGCTCCAGAATGGAGTATGGAAGCATTGTGGGCTATGATGGAGCATGTTGAAGGAAAACAGCTCTCTGCTTACATACTTGTGAGAAACACTTCCTTTTTTATCTGCTAGTTCTTGCTCAGCCTAGAATTCTTACTAGCACTGAGTATAACTTCTGAGTATTGTATTATTGTGAACCCTCACCATTTAAAACTGTGAACCATTTACCATGAAAAAATGCTGATGAAGAGAAAATTATGCAGTGCTCTTCTTAATTCTGCAGAGTAGTTTCTGAGCATTCCTGTTACTTTAAAACCAGTTCCCTTTACTTGAAACCAGAAGTATTCTTTGTATATTCACAGTTTGATTTAGGCAGTAAAGTAACTTCTACTGTTGGTTAGCTTGATATTTCAAGCTGTTACTGTCAAAACTCTGTCCAATCTTCTGATTTTCAGGCTGTTTCACCAGAGGTCACCATTTCTTTGTATGATGATGAAAATCTAGTTCATATGAAACTGATAGAAGTGGGACTTGCAGATTTGGATGAGTGACGTGAATATGAACTGCAAATTCGTACCATTGCAAAGGTATGATTACAGAAGTTTTACGCAAAGTCTAAACTCTCAGTAATGCTGACAACTAGAATTTTTTTTAATCCCTCCTGCCCACACTTCCACTCTTTTAATAAAATAAAATGCTGTTAAAAAAAAGTTCTTTATATACAAATTACCAAAGCTCACAGTATAGCTTTAATGACTAAGAGGTACTGAAACTAAGAACCCCAAGGCAATATAACAGAAACAGCTTTTGCTGCTAGTAACTGAAGAGAGTAACCTGATGTGTGGTGGTGTGTTCTGCCCAAACAATCAAAAATAATTGTTTTTCTTCATTTTCAGCATTTGATCTCAATGTCCAATGCCAGTTGTTCTCAGACAGATTCATTATATCACATGGATGTCCATACGTCTAGTCAAACATGGAATATTTTGAATGAAAAGCGTTACAGTGTGTGTTGTCTAGAGTACTGGAGACTTGGATTTTCAGATTTCCTGGCCAGCACTACATTGTGTTTTCTCTCCCATTTAATAAGGACTCTTCTAATTGATGTTAGATAATGTTCTCAACACTTGTGAATCTTGAAATAGTGAAACTGTTTATTCACATCTCAGTCTTTTGACCTTAGAACCTTAAGTATTGTTCTGTGATATCCTTTCCTAAGAGTAGATGGAATGAAGGTATAATAGTAAAGAAATAGATAAAGCACAGATGTTGGGCACATTTGATCTCGTATCTTGTTTAGTAGACTTGGAGGGAAGATGATAGTTTATTATTGGGATGTAACTCTTGTTGATGTTTCAGGCATATTTGGTGACAGACTTCTCCAGTACTAGAGTCTGGAATCGGGAATGAACAGTTAGGGGTAGGGGAGAGTTACTATCTTTGTTCTGGAACATGTTTGCATTACTGCTCTGTTCTGTTTTCAGTCATGATGAGATGGATGTGTTTTGGGTGTCCTTGCACTTCCTTCCGACTCCTGGAGCTGCAGTGTTCATTTGAAAGTGTTGGAATAAACAGGTTTTTGCTCAGAATGCATCTGAAAGCTTTTTTTCCTTTACTGCTAGAGTATGTAAGGTTTCTTTGGATGTCTGTGTTGTCCTAGCATAGTATATCCTTTACACTTAAAGCTCTGTTTGTTTCAGTCTCCCCATAAAGAATTTTGTTTAGATTATCAAGGAAAACACATGCACAATAAAGACTCTGTAACCTCTCTGGGAAACCAGTTCCAGTACTCAGTCACCCTCACAGTAAAAACACATTTCTTGATATTGAGAGGGAAGCTCCTGTGCTTCAGTTTGCGCACATACATACAAACCCTTATATCTCTTCCCTCAAGATCACCAGAAACCAAGTGTACAAAGCTTCCCTCAGTATAGTGTTGCAGTGGAGTCTATACTAACAATGGAAGGATTCTTTCACAGCTTTAGCACATAGTCTGATATGCTACATGCTGTTGCAAATACCTTATAGAGTTGTCATGCTGTCTTCAAAATTCACTACTTTCCTTATTTTCATTTTAAAAAATCCCAAACAAACTTGCTTATCGATCATCAAGAAAGGGACTTAGCAGAATTAAGAGCTGTTGTTTAAGATTGCCAGGACTTGCCTATCCACCCACCAAGCAACTTCTAGTTGAAAGTGAGCATAGTTCCCACTACTGCAAGTAGATTCACCCCTTGAGTAAAAAGGCATAGCCACAGTAACTAGAGTGCTTGCTTTCACTGAGTAGAGGGGGGGGCAGAGACAGACAAGGGGAAGACAGCATCTTCTACTGTGCAAGAGAAAGAAACAAACATTTCAGCATCAACTACAGTGGAGTTAGAGCAGACACTCTAGCAGTACCACTGTGCTTGTAGCTAGATACTGCAGAATCTTTAAAAGACAAGTTGGCTTTAAAATGTCTGTTAGGGGGAAGAATTAGATGAGATGACCTTTGATTTCTCCTGTTTTTTCCCAGGTTTCTAAGTAGCTGGGAGCATTAATCTGTCCCACAGTCTCACCTGTCTTAGCCTTATAAATGTGGAAGAGCAGTTTACAGAATAGACTCTGGGGTCTGCTGTTGCCTCCTAACTGTGAGATGAATTAAAAATAAGGTTATGAGGGAAGAATAGCCTGAGGCTAAATGAAAAGTTATACTGTTTACTCTTAAGCAATAAGTAAACTATTTAATACTCAGACTCTTAAATCTGGCCTTCTGCTCTATTTCTCCACAACAGGGGTTCTAGCAGCACAACTTTTTAGTGTGGATTGAAGAATCTTTCATCTTAAATGTCTAAACTAAGTTAATCTATAGCTGTTTGAATTTCCACTGACAGCTGAGCATTTAAAAAAAAAAACAAACACCCTTTAAACTACATGTGACAATCAAACTGCTGCTTAAAAGTAGAAATAGGAAAAAAAAAGAAAAATATCTAATGTATTAGCACCCACTGAAAAATAAATTTATTTCAGAAAAACTATAAACAGTATATACACAACAAGCTTAAAAGAGTTTCTCTTCCTGTATACAAGAATGTACATTATTTTTGCTGATGTACTGTCACTTCCAACAGTTTTGACATTATCTACAACTTTGTGTCCACGATAATGTTACCATCCTTGTCTTTCACTCTTACTCTCCCAGAGACATACTTTGTTTCCTGTTGTCCATTCATGTACACAGTCTTGACAGTACCATCTGGATACTCCCGTCTCTTGAACTGCGATGTGTGTAGTTCTCTTTGGCCATTATTGAACTCTATAGTTTTACTTCCATCTCTGCATTAAATAAATGTATATAAGTATTTTTTAAAAACATTTATTTAAATAAAAAAAATTATATAAAGTACTATACATAGGCTTAAGCTTAAGCTCAGAAAAAAAGCCATTAAATATGCAAGCATAACTGAGGGAACTTCAAAAATACAGTATTTGTGAAAAGCCTGGGTTTTTTTTAAATATCTCATCTGGTTGATGCTCAAAAACCTCTTTCTGCAAAACTGACATGACTTCTTGAGAGCCTTGACTGCATTTTCTCTACATTAAACCAGTTGCTGCAACAGTCCAAAAGAAGTTTAAAACTTAGTGCTCAAAACATTATCAGTTATCAGCTGTCAGTTAGACCTGCTTGCCACACCAGCTGCGTTCTCACATGTTCTCTAGAATTTCACACAAATCCGAAGAATCTCAGATTAGGGTATGAGAAGATACACACAGGCATTCAATCTTTATTTCTCCTCCAAGCTACAAAAAATCTCAAACAGTAATTACATGTTTACATTTGAATATACTGTACTGTTAAACTTCTAGAAACAGATCTGTCACCCTGTACTGTCAGTGAGACCTAACTGCTCCTTTCCCACCAACAAGCTAGGTACCTGTAAAGGTAAAGCTTACCGCTGAATACGAACAATAGTACCATCTGGAAATATACTTTCTTCTTGCCCATCCGTAAATAAATTTTTAATAGTTTGATCAGGGAAAGTAATTTCTTTCTTGCCATCAGGATAATGCTTCTCTGAAATGTATTTTGAGACATTATGCTTATTACATAAATAGAAGTGTATATATATGTGCAGCAATTTTGAGGGTTTGTTGGGTAGGATGGTTTCTTTACCTATTTGTCCATTTGAAAACTGCAAGACCTCTAAGCCATCAGAGTATGTGGTATGTGTGGTCTTAGCATCAGCATAATAATAAATCTGCAGAAAAAAGTTCAGATTTAACATTAACTAGTGAGAAATCTTCTGTGTGCACATATAAGTATTTATAGAAAAATGCAGAAGATAGAGGGTACATACCACTGTCTGATCAGGCATAACCTGCTTCACATCACCATTGAAGAAAGTTATAGTTACAGTCTTCCCATCAGAATCCACTTTTTTCCATGTCCCATTGGGGAAAAATACAAGGTGACAGCCATTTTTCAAAACTTTTTCAACCTAATGAATATGTTACAGAGAGTATTCAGCCATTATACTCACATAATCATTCCTCTTTCACAACAGCTGTCTTGTAGAATTTCAGAGTGCTAAGCTCTCATTTTACCTTTCCATCAGGATAAGCAGTTTCTCTCTGTATCTCTTCACTGTCTGTATATGCAAGTCCAGACGGTAGCAACACATGAGCTTCAGTGGGACATGCGTCCTGAAATGACAACAGTAATCTAAGCATAAACTCAGATCAAGCTTTGTCTTCACATGTCGTTTTTTTCCTAGGCTGACAGGTATTTTTGGAAACAAAGCATCAGGGGAGGAAGACAGGTATAGGAAGGCATAAACATAGTCTGGGTTTTATGCAATTCCTAGTGGTAAAACAGACGCAGCAGTAACTGGTTGGCTGTGGTCAGCTGTAGGCTGGACTAAAGTGGAATTTTGTGTGTTGTAGCATGGTGCTCAACTGCCTTAAATCCTCCATATCAAGGTAGGAAATTACGAATTTTCATAAAGCCTGAATGCTACCTACAGTAATTAACATAAGAATTAATCAACTATTTACAAGATCCATGCAGTTACCCTACATGGAGCATATAAATATCCATCTTTTTGCCCTCTTTCAGAAGGTAAAACATTCTGCAAAATTCAAGGGAGCGAGAGATTGTTATTTTCTCAGCCAAAGAATGTCGCAACTACTAGGCACAAGTAAAACACTCTGCCCTGACCACATAACCATTTTCTGGTATGACAATAAAATTGCAGTTGAACATAAGCAGGTGAGCCACCAGCTTCACCAGTCATCCTCCAGCTACTCACTTAAGTACAAGTAACTATTGTTTTATATTAGAGTTTCTCCTCCCCATTAAAAATCAAATCAAGATACAGGACTTACTACCATAAAAGTCCTAGAAGAATCTTCTAGTGCTGTCATTGTTTCAGACTTGCTTCTGTCACTGGCAGGTCCTGATGCAGGTGCTCTAGAAAGCTTACCTACTCAGATACATGTAATACAGTTAATTTGGAGGTGAAATTAAAATACAGTTTAAGTGTTATATAAGAGGTCAAGCTGTACAGGACGCCTACATTTCTTAAGTGCAGTAGAAACTGAAAGCAGTACATGAAAAGTATCAGCAGAAGCCAGCTCCCTCAGGTCTGTCATTGCTTTATGTATCAGCGAGAAGCTACAACTGAAGAATCATTGCAACACACATAATACTCGCACTTTTTCTATTTCATCTCTGTAGATTTACAAAGGATTTCCAACCCCAGGAACCTAGACAATGTTATTAGTTAGGCCTTAGAACAAATAAAGGAAGACTAATACAACCTTTTAACAAGAACTGATTGTCAGACGTCCCATGTCTCTCCTAGCGCAGCAGAAAGATTACGAAAATAAAACCAGCAAGTGCTTTAATTCTGGAACATAGTCCTCTAACGGATAATGTGATGGTTGCCCAAGCTGTCAGAGGTGTCAAAAAAGAACCCTCTAGTTACTTTCTGTATGTAATTATTCATTAGGAAGGGGTATAGCCTCCGACAGCATTTACTTCTAACTGTGAACAAGGAGCACCTGCTACAGCATTGCCTGTATGATTACAGATCTACAAAAGGTTTTGAAGAGACACAGAAGCTTGGAGAACACCAATGATAAATGCCATTTTGGATTACAGAACGCAGCTTATGGTATGCTCCAGACCCATGACCAGAAGCATTTTCACTGAGAAGGATCTCATCACAGCTTTCTCCAGAATCTTACCCTGCAAAGTATTCATCCATACGATCAAGTCCATCATAACTACTTTCTATCTGCTTTTGAGATGGTGATGCACTTTTTTTTTTAATACAAGCAAAAATCCACATTAATTTCTTCTAAAGAGTTAACAGAATTCTCTGATTATACAAACATTTATACCTTTTTCCTGAGAATAACTTTTGCCATTTATCTTGCTGCACTTCTGTGCTGGAAGAAGCAGAGATGCAGTTTGACTTTTTGGGCCTCTATTTGGTAGACGCTAAAAGAAAAGAAGTCATTTGTGGTCTATGTGACATTTAGTCATAACTCTTCATAACAGCAACAAAATTTACACCATATGACATGAAATTTACCAGAAGCTTTCTTCACAAACTATACATTATAGAGACTTAGCAAAAGGGCTTGTGTGATGTAGTTCAAACTACGCTTTGGAACTCTTCCTCTGCTGCCTCAATACCAACAACTGCAGAATTAAATTTGGTGCAAACAATCCAAAGTAATAGTTACACTTTCAAAACTAAATATATCTGCTTTTAGGCAAAGGGGAACTGCCTGGTTTGCCTGGCTGATCCTCACGGTTCACAGGTTGGATCCCATCTATGATTTTTCTCTTACAATTGCATCATTTTTAATTCCTGAGATGAGTTCTCAACAAATGGATGCTGCACATTGTGAACATTCACATTTGGAAAGAAGGCAACGTTAAGAAAACCCAAGTCACCACTAGCACAGTCCCAAAGTTAGTAAATTAAAAGTAAATATCTTAAGTTGTAGTTATTGGATTCCAAGTCTATGATCCAAAACTCAAGGGCATTTACACAGATGAATTTAAAACACTGAGATTAATAACTTACCGATTCGGCTCTTTTTAGAGTCATCCCAGAATTTTCTATTCTCCTCTTGCTTCCAGCAGCTTCTACTTTTTTCCAGGCTTCTAGACGAAACCTCTCCATTATTTTGACTTCCTCCTTTAGCTCCATATTCTCATTTACTAAAGTTTCTATTTGATCTTTCAGGCGTCGATGGGTGGTTGACCATTTTGCCTCTCTTCGTTTTAAATCTTCCTGTAACTCTGCAATCTGCTGTTTTAAAGCCTTGGAAGAATGTGTGTTTATGAATTGAAGAGCTTCCATTTTTTTTAATTAAATATTATTTTAGATTGTTAATTTTCTAATAGAAATAAAAGCACACAGAAAAAAACACACGAGTGGCAATAAAAATAAGATCAGCCTAATGGGGCAGAGGGTGAAAGGTAGAACTTGCCTTCCCTGAAAGAGATATTATTTACTTTAGACTACCAATTTTATAAGCTCCACTTCAATCACAGAAAGTGTCTTTATTGCTCTTTTGGCATCCTCCACACTTCGAAACAAAATCTTCAAGGCTACCTTTGAGAGGACCCTTCAAAAATCTTGGCACAGAAAAAAAAGGAGGATGCAATCACATAAAACACATGTGAATCTGCCTAGCCAGTTTATCAAACGTTACTTCAATCTGTTGAAGTAAGGAAAATTTGTAGGGAAGAAGGAGGGAAATACATGTGTCATGTACAGATAAGTAATATTAGACATCACATGTACCATGCATCCTGACAACGAAGACACAAACAGATCTTGTTTCTTACATCTCTGACCTAAAGACCTACAAATAATAAAAGTCTAACTTTGAAAAATGTAGATTACTACATTTACTGTACAACATAGACTGGATAAACTCAAGTAGAGTTCTTATGTGCGTTTTGATCCACTACCATGAACAAAAACTTACAACTTAACTAAAGTAATTCTCTGTCAAAGTTGAAGATCATCATACCGTAGACATGAGCAGTTTTTAGTATGGAAGCAAAAAGATTTGCTCATCAGGGGTTTTTGCCTTAAAAACATAGAACAACATTGTGAAGACTGTAGTTCCTTCCTCAGTTAGGGCACGTCTACTAACACTTCCCATCGTGATATCACATGTAACCTTTCAATTAAGTTAGAATTTACTTCTCAACTGCCTTTAAATGAATGTACATGTTCCTATGGGGACTAGAAAAATAATTTATTTTTATACCTGAATTTCATCACGTTCTTTTTTATCTGGAATTGCTCTAGCTTCTGTGGCATATTTTTCAAAAACTTTACGCTCCTTTTGCAGTTTTTTCATTTCCTTTTTTTTATATTCTTCTATTTCACCCAGTTCTTGGGCTTTCTGCTGTTGAAAGTCTGCAATTTCTTTCCTATAATTATGAAACAGAGTTGTTTTATCCCAAAACTACTTCAAATCTAGGGTTTTAAGGAAGAAAATGAGACCTCTAAATTCTGTGGTCATTGATTCCAGTCCATATTGTACTCTGAAAATATTCTCAGTTTGTACACACAAACATCAAATCCAAAGAAAGAGCATCAGTCATGTTAGCACAAAGATCAGTTTTGCAAGACCAGTTTAGGACTGTGTTAACATTCAGAACAAAAGTATACAAATTCTCCCAAGTACAGCCTTTAAGGATGTAATGTTAAATTAGCAGGGGTTCTTAATATTATAATTTGTGTGTGAGCAATAATTGCAGTTTAATATATACATAGAGCAACAACCCGTTTATTTCTTGACCTGTATCTCCACTGTAACTGAAGCACACCGATTCTTTACCTGTGCTGTTGGTAACTGGACATGATGATATAGTCCAGAACATACTAGGTAAGTGAATGCACCAAAACGTTTCAACTGAAAATTACCTGATACTTGCCAAGGCATGCTCTCTTTCTTCACGGAGTTTAGTTAGAGTTGTGTTTTCAGCTCTGAATCTCTCTATTTCAGTTTCCAGTTCTATGAGTTTCTCTCTCAGTACCTGGGATGGAACAGTGGTTCCTGCCAAAGAAGAGCCAGATGAAAGTTATCTGGCATCCATAAGACTGAAGTAAACAATTATCACACACCAGTTAAAAATTTTTAAAAATCAAGTGATAAGATTTTAGAAATAGCAGTAGTATTGCAAAAAAATTTTACTATTAAAATAACACTGAAGTGACAAAACACTGCACTATTTACTCAAGTACCTCAAATATTAAGTATATCCATTATTTTTGTAGATGTAAATGTGTATTAGGAATTGGAATGTGAAGGGCTTCACATCAAGCTAGAGAAATTAAGGTATAAGGCCCAAGCATCAAACAGCAAAGTTTCTGGTTGTAAGTCTTTACAAGCTCTATTCACAAGAAAGTTTGCTCATACCCATCCCCAATGTGAAATCTACTGCAGAGGCTGATTAATAGGATTTATGGGCTTTTTTGCCATCCCAGTTTCCTGATCAGTCACTACTTAACACTCCCAGGGTTTTAATAGTCCGTTTCCAAACATGCAACAGAAGAGCCTAAATACTGATGTTGCAGTGTAGGTAGTTGCTCATTCACCCTTAAATGAATCACAGAATTGTCTGGGTTGGAAAAGACCTTGAAGATCTTCCAGTCCAACCATTAATCTAACACTGACAGTTCCCAACTACACCAGATCCCTCAGGGCTACGTCGACCTGACTCAGATACCTCCAGGGATGGGGACTCCACCACCTCCCTGGGCAGCCCATTCCAAAGCCCAACAGCCCCTTCTGGAAAGAAATGCTTCCTAATATCCAGTCTAAACCTTCCCTGGTGCAACTTGAGGCCATTCCCTCTTGTCCTATCACTTATTACTTGGTTAAAGAGGCTCATCCCCAGCTCTCTGCACCCTCCTTCCAGGTAGCTGTAGAGGGCGATGAGGTCTCCCCTCAGCCTCCTCTTCTCCAGACTAAACCCCCCCAGTTCCCTCAGCCGCTCCCCGTACGACCTGTGCTCCAGACCCTGCACCAGCTCCGTTGCCCTTCTCTGGACACGCTCGAGTCATTCAATGTCCTTTTTGTAGTGAGGGGCCCAAAACTGAACACAGGAATCGAGGGGCGGCCTCACCAGTGCCGAGTACAGGGGTCAGATCCCTTCCCTGTCCCTGCTGGCCACGCTATTGCTGACACAAGCCAGGATGCCATTGGCCTTCTTGGCCCCCTGGGCACACTGCTGGCTCCTGTTCAGCTGGCTGTCAATCAACACCCCCAGGTCCCTCTCTGACTGGCAGCTCTCCAGCCACTCCTCCCCAAGCCTGTAGCGCTGCTGGGGGTTGTTGTGGCCCAAGGGCAGCCCCCGGCATTTGCCCTTATTGAAACTCCCCCAGTTGGGCTCAGCCCATGGCTCCAGCCTGTCCAGGTCTCTCTGCAGAGCCTCCCTACCCTCGAGCAGATCAACACTCCCACCCAACTGGGTGTCATCTGCAAACTGACTGAGGGTGCACTCGATCCCCTCGTCTAGATCACCAATAAAGATGTTAAACAGGAGTGGCCCCAACACCGAGCCCTGGGGGACACCACTCATGACCAGCCACCAACTAAATGCTCTGGGATTCAGTAAAAACCCTACCCTGCAAATCTAGCAGGCATCTGTAGACAACCCTAAGAAAATCAATGTTCCACAAAACAGTAAGAAGTAGCAGCTTTCATATGAACTTCTCGTAAAAACTTAAACAATATCCTATCCTAACTATTTGTTGGAGCACAGTTTGAAACAAAGATCTCACCACCTTACAGAGAATAGGCTATGCCATCATGCTTTCACTGAACAACTGCATTTTTAATATCACATAAATGCCACAGCTTCAACAGGAAGTTTTAAAGGCAGTTCTTCCCCAAGCTATAACCATATAGTCAAAATCAACTTGGGTAAAGCAGAAAAATTAATCCATATTTCCCATATTATGTGTGAATTCTCTAGATACTACTGGAGGAAAATACGGACAGGGCTGCCACCTCCTTATATTTTCTAAGAGGAAGAAGCTAACCTAACATTGCATAGCATTGCCCTACTGTGGTGTAAATGCACACTGCAGTGGAAAAGGAGGTACCACTTCACTTTCAGCATGCCTTTGATTCTTTCCTTGGAGAGGAGATGAAAGGTGAGAAAACGGCCATTCCCTGCAGCAGAAGTCTGTATTTACACCCTTTGGTGTACTGTCAGGTTGCAATTTAAGCTTTTGAAGTAATTTTTTGACTTGTAATTTATGTGGTCTTCAACATTTCATACCAGTTCTCTCACCTGGCTCCTGTTCCACATTTGATTTGATCACACGCTCCAAATGGCAGCTTCTCTTCTGTTTCGGTTTCAGTGAGGGAAAGAGTTTCATCATCAGGTTTGATACAGGAGGTCCATTTGAATCACTATCCACTGCAGACTCTTTGGACATTTCATCTCCCTTCTTTGAGGCAACTTTTCTCTTTACTGCTTTATCTGGGACAGTTGTATCATTCTTACTGGAAAAGTCCATTTCTAAAGGTGTTTTAGTATATTTTCCAGGTAAATCACTATTAACATAATTTTCATCAAGATCACTCCATGTTCTTTCATCATCAAACTCAAACTTGTTCCTACTTGTACAAGACACACTCCTCTGATGGTCTGAAGTTTTTCTACTCTTTTGCTTTGACAGTGCACTGCAATCTTTGCCTGACAGGCTGAGGTCAGCATCTCCATTTTGCCTTTCTGTGTTGATGTCTGTAACAGAACCTCCATAATCAAAAAATTCTGGATCACTTTCTCTATGGCTCATCTTAGCATCTCCATTTTCATGCTTTAATGTGGTCTCAAATTCACTCTCAGAATCTGCAGTAGTATCACCATTGCACTCACCCTTATCTTCATTTATAATCCATTGATTACTCTTTAAAGCAGGAGATGCTGTCATGGAAGAAGCTGAAAATATTACACTGTCCATTTTATTCAATGGATCCTTCATTCTAAAAGCTGTTCCTGAATTTGAGACTGTATGCACAACTGCTCTGTCATTTATATTTCCCCATGTCATACAGTCTGCCTTTTTATTTTCCTTATTTGCAAGTTCAACAGCCAGAGCCTTTACTTGCTGCTGTTTTGCCTTGATAGGGGTAGAAGACATTCTACGGCCTTTTAAAGTTTGTTGGTCTTGTTCTAAGATCCTTTGCACAAATGAGGAATTACTTGAGAAAGATATTTCATCTGCAGCTTGTTCTAGAAACAAAAATTCATCTAATTCTACATTCTCTTTTTCTTTTTCTTTTTCCCAGTTTTCCAGCTTATTCTGAAATGAAACTTCAAAAGACAAATCTGAATCCTTCACAGGGGGACCTACAGGACATTTAGAATTTGAAAAGGCACTGGCAAGCTCATGAAACAACTGAGGCTTTTCTGGGCCAAGTAATTTGTGTCTGATTTTGCCAGTGTTAGACGTAGCAAATTCTACTATGTTCTCTTTATTTTCTATTTTGGTGTTAATTTCTGATGGGAAAGAATCTCTCATCTGTTCATCATGATTTTTTCCTGGTTGCATTCTTGTTTCTACTGGCAGGGTATTTTTTCCATTGTGATTCCTGAGTACTGGGGTCTTCTGACTAGGACAATGTTTTGCTTTATCAGAGTGGTTATATTTTTTACATGGTGCAAAAGGCTTCTCAGAAACCAGTTCTTTGCCAGGAGGCATATTTTTCTTCTGTATTTGTGATCTGTTCACTTTAATAACATTTCTGTCATCTGAAGCCCTGTGTTGAATTTTTGGGGTGTTTTCTTCAAGTTTTGAAATTTTAGATTTGGCATTAGTAAATCTTGTTAAGCCTTCTCCTCTTTTCAGGAAGGGTCGTTTGATCACTGGTTTCTGAATGGCTGATCCATTTGTCTCCTGAAAGGGTGTAAAGTAAAACATAAGATGTTAAAAAGCCCCTGACACAGTTTGAAGATTTCTTCAAATAAACCCCACGTATGAGTCAGAATTTATACAGTACCTTTCTACTGGATTTCTAAAGACATCTTAAGTGAAATATTTGAGGCTTAGTGTTTTATTTTTAAGAATGTGAATATTATACTGTGTTAGTTTTTGATGCTAGAATCTTCCTTGTACATTTTTAAAACACCTATCGCATCTTGGCACAATATATAAAGAACGATAAAGTCTAAAAGTAAATAAATAACCTGTAATTTCTGGTATTGCTCCAGGCGCTGCTCTTCTAGTTGTATCTGTTCCTCCAGAAATTCTTCAAATGTCTGTTTCTTCGCAGCTTTAATAGGTCTAGTGTAATTTAATAAATAAATAAATCTTACATTTCTGTATGTGTTTAACGTCACTGCTACTCAAAGACCCAAGGTGTAATTACATAAAAGACGACAAATTATGAGGTGCTTTGGTCATTAAGTGTCATCTGAGAAATGCATTATAACACTAGCTGTTTATCTTTTGAGAGATGGCTTATCAAATCCCTGCCATAGTTAATATACATAACTAAAAGATACTATATGCAGGTTTTGCTGTTTCTTCTTTCCTTGGTTTTCTCAATGACCCTTTCTTCTGCCCAGATCACCAAACTTTCATTCATATTTTAGTCATGCTGCCAATTTCTACAGTGTCACCTTCCCATCCAGTAATGCTACTGAGATCATCTCCCCCTTTGA